AGGACTGTCAAAACCAGTGGGCTTACACATAATTATGTTAACAACTACAAGTTGATTACATTCAATTCTGCCTACGACACACACCGCTAGAAGAGAAGGTCCATATCATGCCTTTAACCCTTTAACGTCCGCTTTGGTGGTTTGTGGTTTGCATATTATTCTTCCTGGACCATTAAGGTTTCCATTTAAGCTATTAACATGTTAATTAGCAAAATTAGCGAGGATAGATCTTTCCACTGGTACCTCATTTAGCAAATTTTGACCAATGCTGACAGAGCTACAGACAGAAAAACAAGCAACAATCCATTTTGGGGAAAAAAAACCCGCTCATTTTGCTATTTACCTACTGCTCTTAGCAGATTAAATTTATCCTTTTGTTGGAAAGAAAGCCATCCAAAATTTCAGGGAAAAATTATAGCCACAGCTGTATTAGATAAAGATGAAAATTGTTTATGATAGGGTTAAAATGACATCGGGGTTATCATAGCAACGAAATGACGACATTACTTATTTTACTTGCAGCCGTATTTCTCGGCACTGGGAAATGTGCTTCCAAAACCGTTCATACAGCTGTGGTGGTAATTTTGCCAAATCCTTGTTAATCGCAACATAGTTCATGCTCAAAATTGGAAGGTATTGATCCTGAAAAACCCCATTGGGACACCTTTAGGTGTCCATTTAATGAGGTGTACGTAGAGAGGTGAGTACTAATTAGTTGACTCTATTCTAAATAATATGTTTTTGTACATATAGTTTGTACTATGATGCCTTCTTTGTACCCTTTAGAGTAAACAATATTGAGTACATTTGCCAAAACATCAAGTTTACCCAAATTAGAAATGCCCTAAATGAGATTTTGTTACACATCAGCTAAACCGCGAATACAGTACTATGTTGTGGTTCAATTTTATCCTTGGTTTAAGTATTCTTTTCTCTTCTTTTTTGGTATAGTAATGTATGATAATGACTTTGAAGCAAAAGAAAATAAAATCTAAAACAAGGATAAAATTGAACCACAACATATATACAGTGCAATAACCGGCCCAAAATCACCCCCGAAATTTCCACCAAGTAGGAAACTTTCTCAGAAAAGCAAAACAATACTGTGAATATTTTGCACCTTGTGAATGATGAACTTTCCTTTAAAATGAGCCAGGAATCGTGGTGCTTCTTGTTGCTGAAAAAAACGTAAGAAAATGTTCAAGGGAGAGCTATTAAAAACAAAATCCACCGAGATTTCTCCTGCGCCACTGATTTTTGGGGCTCCGTCCACACGTATCCGATTTTGTTTCAAAACGAAGATCACTGTTTGTTTTTTTGGATCAATATAGGTTTCTGGGAAACTGCCCACCTACCCCTCCCCTAAGGTAACATTAACCCTTACTTCTCACTTAGGGCAAAATGATGGCTTAGGGGAGGTGTAGGTGGGCAATTTCCCAGAAACCTAAATTGATCCGGTTTTTTTTCCCCACCGGTTTGGTCTACCGTCCACACGTATTGGGTGAAAACGGTCACCGACAAAGCATCTTTTCAAAAACGCCCTCCGGCGTGGAGATCGTTTTTGAAAAACGCCTGCTTATCGTTTTCATATCGACGGTCGAAAACGGAGGTTTCGAATTCAACGACGTTATAAATCACACAGCGCATGGCCTGTAAGGAATGCAATCGTATTTGCATCGTTTTAGCGTTTTCGTGTGAACGGGCGAAAACGCGGAGTTCGCTACTGATGGACGCATATGTTTTTTTCGAAAAAGGGAAATAATACCTGGATAGGTGTGGAGGAGGCCTTATTCAGATTACAACAACTTTATCTGTAGCAAGCAATGAATGCAGTATTCATACATTGCACCTTTATGATTCATAAAACATTCAAGCAGAGTGAAAGACCCATTAGGTATAACTTTGCTAGCGATAAAACCAAGGATAACAACACATACTTTTGCACAAATTTTGCCTGGACCTAAACTACTTTACGACATTCTACGTCTCAAACTTCGCATCCCATTATTTTGTTTTAGCTTAGGGGCCGACCATTTAACTCTTGAGGGTGGGGGTGGGTGATTTCTGGTCATCAAAAATTTTTTTTTTTAGCAATCTGCATCCCCCTTATTTTTATTTTTGAGCTGCATGCAATTTTTTTTCTTCCGACAAGCGCTTAAAATTTTTTTTCAAAATCACCCCCCCCCCCCCTCAAGAGTTAAATGGTCGGCCCCTTAGTTAACTAAGGAGAATGAACAGGGATGCAGATGTAATGTACCTGCTGTGTTTTAACAACTTCCAGCTTTTCGCCAAACAGCATCTCGAATTTCTTTTGAAGACTGTAAATAACAAGAGAAATGTTTTAGATTGAAAGGTGGTTGAAAGAGAGCCACGTACTGACCCCAAATGCAAATTTAAGGTCGAATAAATAAGGTCGAATAAGTTATTTCTCCTCTAGACAGGTCTTTATTAATTACTTTGATACAAAGGCTACGTAAAGGCTGGAACATATTTCAAAATGCCTGTGCTGAGTGAAGTAGTGTTATATCATTGTTAGCCTGTGAGCAAACTCTCGTTTTTGCGAGCGAAAAGCAAAACGACTGGTGGTTTCACCGCTCACTCGAGCGTTCTCAGTTGTTGCAACTCGCTTAACTCGCCCCTCGAAATTGAAAGCTTGCTAACAGGGTATGTCATTGGAAATTACCTAATCAAATACATGGTTGTAAATGGCAGAGTATGAAGTTTGGTTGAAAGAGAGCCATGTACCGAGCTCAAATGCAAATTTAAGGTCGAACTTCATGTCCTGGAAAACCCCAGAGACTCTTGCAGAATACTTGAACTAACTTGGAAAAGATGACTACCGCACAGGTTGTCGAAACATCAGTCAGTGTCAACAACAACAGTCCTATTCAGGAGTTCGTTCACCCGGACGATCAGACTCAACCTACTTTTAAAATGACTCCTGGGTTCAAACCTTTCACAGTTTTAAAAAACAGACGCACTAATTTTTCTCCCACAATTCACTTTCTGTTCAAACTAAGAAAGAATTTCAAGACCTGGATACGCCGATTTTAAAGTTTAAAAACAGTTTGACCCATTTGACTGAATTGTACTGAAAACGAATAAACGAGTAGACCACTACAAAAGGTTCGTTCAGTTCTAAATATTAAAAAGGCTAGAAGCACTTAATTTTATAAGTTTGATACTGCATAAGTAACTAACTAGAAAGAGGTATAGCTGAATTTAACCTGAATGTGAAAGTCAGCCAGCCCATCTGATTAGCATCTCTTCCCTATAACATTAAATAGTAATGACTATAAAAGGCTGATCAAGACATGTCACTCTAGGTAAAAATGCCCGCCCCGTTAGAACGAACAACTATATGGTGCAAGTTAATTTGTGTGGTATGCTTACAAAATGATGTTGCATTTAGATGCAGAGCAAACTACTCAGAAGAAGATAAAAGCCACATACATTACTGAAGTTGGGCGTTTTTTTTTTGCGCGGGGGGAGGGGGCTAAAGAACTAGAATTTACGCGGGTTATGTACCTGATCAACGTATTGAAATAAAAACAAATACGGAGTTGGAAGGAGTCGAAGGGTTGGGGCAGGGGGTTGGGGGCGGCGGCCGGTGCTCAATGCCCGTCTCTCTCATTATTTCCCGCTACTCTTTAATACTCTCTTTCAAATCCAAAGATGGCGGCTACGCACGGGAAATACTGAGTCAATGTCATCCATCTGGTTTGATCTCTAAGGGCGATCAGACGCTTCAGCTCAGTATCCACTCACTGCGTTCCACGGTCACTTCGTTCCTAGCAAATGTCACAGCGTTTTGTAAAATACCGTAAAATTCCGAAAATAAGCCCCTCCAAATATAAGTCCCCCAAACTCATAACACAAAAAACCCTCCGTTAAATCGCCCCTCCAAATATAAGCCCCCGGGGACTTGTACTTGGAAATCGCCCTCAAATACAAAGTAAAACAAAGCAAAAACAGTGCATTTCCTCCCAACTTTAAGGCTAGCCCAATCGATTTTGAAACGCAAATTTCCCTCCGTAGATAAGCCCCTCCGAATATAAGCCGCTCCAAAAATAAGCCCCTCAAAAAAGGCCTTTGAAAAATATAAGCCCCGGGGCTTATTTTCGGAATTTTACGGCATTCTGTTCATTTCACGAGAGCTAAGATTCAGCTATCTCCAGTAAACTAGAAAACCATGGGACGATCTCATTTAGGTGACCTTAAAGTAAACCTTCTACTTCTGGTATGCACTATCCAGCAAGAAACTAACCTGCCAGAAATATACCACGCACTGGAAGTCTTCCTCCTGCTCTATGGGTTCCTCTTCTTCATCTTCCTCTTCAGGTTGCTCCACTGGCACCCAGTAACGACACAGAAACACATAGCAGTCACCAGTGTAGAAATGACCTAAAGGTGGACACAAATTAACATTCTAACAAATGCAGCGAGAACTGAAAGGCGAACGTTCAATAGTACAAAAAAAGACAGAGTCAGGCATATGTTTAAGACTTCATTTTCTCCTTGACTTCTCACTTGGGCAAACGATAAATCGTTTTTCTCTCTCTGAATCTTATATCAAGTGCAGACAGTGTAACAGAACGTCTAATGTTAGAGTCTTGTGTATGTAATGCCAAGGGGTGTGATCACCCGCGAGCGACTCACCTATTACTACCACTCACCTATTTCGTCTTCAGGCAGTCGAACAAACTTTCTTCCTTCCAATACAAAGCATTCCATGCCATCAAGATCTTCATTCCATTCTTCCACAAACTGTTCCTTGAGTGACAAGTTAAATACTTTTCTTAGTCTCTTTTAAAACACGCCATGAAGAAAAAATTGATTGAAAAGAATAATATACCATTTACGAGTTTCGAAAAATTCACTTTAAAAACGAGGCAAAACCTTTCTTGTGAAAATGAGTTTTATTTGCATGAGAATAAAAATCATTTTTCATGTCAATCGCTTCGGATCTTTATACGTTTCTGTGAAACTGCCCACCTACCCCTCCCCTACGCCAACAGTAACACTTACATCTCACTTTGGGCAAAATGTTGGCTTTGGGGAGGGGTAGGTGGGCAGTTTCCCAGAAACGTATTATCGCATCGTACTTAGCCCCGCTTTGAAACAGAGGCTTGACGCAACTCAGAAATCTCCAATTCACTATCCTGATAAGAAGGGGTCGCTTAGTTTCCTACTGTTACACGTTTGCTTAAAATGTCTCAGAGAATCACCGATGGAAGGATAGCCAGGTATCCAAGCACCTCGAGGTTTAGCTGCTCCTCGTAGTTTAAAAACATTTCTCTGTTACTGACTCTATAACCTGATTTATAATTCAAAAAAGGGGAAATTGTCTCACGAAACGGCTCAAGTATTAGGGAGGAATAAAAGGGATTCCTGGTTTATCTCACTTTCATTTCTAGAACTTGCAATTCAAAAGAATTTGTAGAGTTTCTCACTTATCAGCACTCACAGCATAACACAACTTACCTGCTCATTATTTGGGATAGGCTGCTGCCGAGTGGTGAACAGGGCAGACAGATCAACCTGGTGAAGAAAACAATAACTTTTACCAAGACAGCACATGAGCAACTCCGCATCGGTAGTTAACAATTAAAAGGATGCAAGTTAAACTAAGTGTAAGGGATCGGTCTAAATGTAAGCATCTGTGCTCCAAGATAACTGCACTAACTTTGTTTCTAACCAAAGTAACAATACTTAACAATTATTCCTGAAGCCCGAATAGGCTCTGAGTCAATAGCCCATGAGGCCGAAGACCAAATGGGCTATTGACTCAGAGGCCATGAGGGCGAGAGGAATAATTGTTTTGGTCAAATCCAACTAGTTGGTCAAAAATATCGAGACAAAACAACTTAAAAACGCGATTCAGCCGCCATTGTTTTGGTTTTCAAAGCCAGCGCTTTACGCTACTAGTGGGCTATAACATATAGCCTAGTAGTAGCTCAACCAATCAGAACGCAGCATTGATAATAGACCGCTAGTTGGATTTTACTAAAAACAGATATGATGTGTTTAGCTGAAAACTTCTATTACAACGCGTATTACTATGGACCCCTACCTTGGCAGCTTTCTGCAGTTTAGCTTGAGCTTCCTTGGTTGTTATGTTCTGTGCAACAAACAAAGGTTAATGATCAATAATTAAACGATGGTACCGTCTGTAGTTACTTTCAACTATAATGGGTCCTCTCCAGAGAAACGGTTACACGGGACATCAACACCATGCTAGAGAGCAAACGACGCTGTGACGCAAGAAAAACAAAGAGCTACTGTCCTTTCTTTACAAGGTTCCACTGAGTTTTTTACCCTCCAGAAAGGTGTTTTTGTGTTGAACGTGACTGTTTCTCTGCAAAGAGCCTATTCTTTTTCATTTCGTTACAGAAGACAAGGAAACATCAAACATGGCTACTACTAGGTACAAGGATGACAAAACGCGCTCGACCTGCCTGAGTTTCCACCCGAACCACTTTTAAAAAAGACAAGTATGAATTGGTATCCACTAAAGTTCATGAGCATCTGTGGCAACTTGCACATGCACCACAGCCATGAGCAAGTTCTGGTGCTCGCATCCTTCTAAAAAAACCCGCACTGCAAACTAAACCGCTCCACTTTATGGTGGTAGTGGTGAGTTCAAACACAGCAGCAAGTTATTGACCTTATTCCTCCTTTTTTCGGTAGTACATCAAATGGGCACTTTCACTTGGAATCTTGACAAAAGTTACTTATTGACAATAATGGGACTTCCAAAGTAATCAATACGTAAATAGTGCAAAAACAATAGAATCTGAAATCAGCTGCTTTAGCACAGGCGGAACGCACATCACTAAGATGTACATGTCAATTTAATCAATGGAAGGACAGCACTAAACTACTATTTCAAACAGTTTGTTCGAAATGTTACGACAAAACTTGGAACAGTTGGCCTTTCTTTTGGAAGTCGCAAATTTTACCGTTTCCTTGTCCATGTAGATGTACACTGCACAAGACTGAAAACCATAATTAGTTTCATTGCACTTACTAAGAGCCTTCTAGGAATATTTTCAGTATTGTAATGAAACTTGTGGGTTTGTCCATATCTCAACGTACAGCCCCTTTCATTGGAGACCTTTAGATTAAAGGACGAGAACGACTGCGAGTACGAGATTTGACCTAAAGTTTTTTCGCGTATTCTCAAAATATAGACTCCCCGGAAAGCTTTATTTTACCATTTTTTACTAGAAAAGTTCGCACTGTTACCTTAAGTGAAGGAGGTTACGCGCTCTCTCGATCGCAAAATTATAAAACTTCTAACATCTGAATTATCTTGTTTCCGCCACTTAAACATCACGCTAAAACTCGTAGTAGAGTGACGACGGCTATCACGTTTTCCCGCCAAAATGACGCTGGTTCACGAGCGAGCACTAGTTAGTATTGAGAAAATCTCGTATTCGTAGTCGTACTCGTCTAAGAATCTGAAGGTCTCTCATGTACAGTACTCCTATGTCAAATTACCGTAACACCCAGTTGTTTTGAGGCCTTTGCAACATAATCAGCACTCAGCGTGTAGTCCACAGCTAATACATCATCCCAGCCGGTGAATCTCGCCTTGAACATCTGTGACTCAGCCCTTTAGGGAAAGAACCAAACTAGATTGATCATTTGAGCGATACACAATAATTTATGCAACACAATGGTAAATATCCAATAACGATGGAAAGATGATGAAATTATGAATGTATGAAAATGATATATATGAACTGCAGAGTTAGGAATTAAATGAAGGATGATCATCGCAATTATATACGCAACTTTTGCAGTTGCGAAAAGAAAGCCTGAAAAAAAAATTAAAATAATTGGTAGAGCGCTGCACCGGTATCGCATGCAGAGGTCAAGGGTTCGAATCCCGTACAAGCCTGAGTTTTTTTCAGGCTTTCTTTTCGCAACCGCAAAAGTTGCTTTTACAACTGCGATGATCATCCTTCATTTAATTTTAATGATGGAAAGGTGATGTTGTTATGAGCCAACACCCAATATTGACTAACTTGACTCAGAACAGTGATTTTGAAAAAAAAAAAATAAAGGGCGTGACAAACTTAAACTCTGAAGGTCTGTAACATAGCCAAGGGATGGAAGTATGACATGAAGGACTGGGATTTGTCATCAAAGTTGCCTGAAGGTCAAGTGAAGTATTATAACTGTTTGACAAAAAGGCATTTTGTTTATTTGTTGTTCACCAGTTTAATAACGACACTGGATAAGCTAAAAGATAGTTGTTTTTCAGCCCCTTATCTACTGGATGGTGATTTACCCGGTGGATGGCGCTATCCAACGTTTGAACAACTGGAGCCAGAGCTTTTGGCTACTACTATGTGGCAGCATCTTCGCTCAACGGCTTATATTGTCTCTCCTTGAAAGTCATTAATACAAGAATATTCGTCTGCATGTACTGCCTGTAAGGGCTGCTTTGGGATGGAAGGGGTGGGGTGGGGTGGGGAGGGAGCCTAATACGCTACCTACCCCTGAAGATTGCGTATCTGTAATGCGAATGATGGGCGGTCGATCATAGTATAGAGCTCTTGAGAGAGCTTCATTGCTGCGGCACGCACCAAACGAGCTGACTTCCGCCCAATCCTGTGATTGAAGAATTTAAGAGCTGGTTAGTGCTGTACTTATCAGCACAATTTGGTATTGCAAGGGCGTTACCAGATAACCACCTACTTTTTAAATTTTTCTTTTTTTTTCTATAAGCAATCTGTCAACAGATTCTTTGTCTTGACACACTGTGGCTTTAAAAAAAGTGATTGGACGTTAAACTTGCCACTTGCCCTGTCATGTTTCTGGTTAACCCACTTATTCCAAAAGATGTCCCCAACAAATACTATAAGATTGCTGTTTTCTGGTCACCAACGAGCCAAAGCTATCCAAAATTCGAAACGTATGTTTCCTTTCGTATTAAATGAATAATTATACCGCCATTTAGCATCAGGTGGTGACGGTTAAGCGTACTTTAAAAAAGTTTTTTGACGAGGAAAACAGAGCAAATCTTTAATTTTTCGCATCTTTTCTCTAGTTGTTCAATATTGCAGAAGAAGATTTCACGAAAATGCTGACGGATCAAATTAGCATGAAAAAAAAAGGAAAAACCAAGGGACAGGATTTTTGACGAGATTTCCACGTACCAAACAAAGATCTCTGAATGACAATCTAAGATATAAACATTTTTGGTTTCCAGCATCTTCGTCGTCAACTTTTCACCAGGGGTATCCACTATAAAGAACATAAAAAATTAAATCAATAAACAACTGCCTAGAAAACAAATAAAATGACCAAAACAAAACCGCCAAAGAACCTTGTGGTAGCTCCAAATAGCCGAGTCCTAAGGCCACTTGATAAAGAATTGGAGCAGGAGGGTTTTCCTTGTATTCTGGCTTTTCCTAGACAGTAAATACAAGAATTAGAAACTGAGAGCTCATTCTAATAAATTGGTATCCTCCAGTATGGTCTCTCCAGTATGCAGAATTAAGCAAGTTTGGTCAACATTCCTACGCTAGGATTCAAAGAACTACGTCAAATACCCTGACTGAGCCAACTTTTAATCCCCGTTTTTTTAATCAGTTATGAACCACATAGTGCAGGCAGTATTCGCTGAGTATAGCCTGCAGAGGACGACGTACCCAGCGACATCTGCAACATTCTAATAAGAGGCAGCCAGCTCACAGATGACCAGCAAGGCAAACTGTGGCAGACCAAACCACCAGCCCTGTCCCCACATAATAACTCTGTTATTGGGAAAATGGAGAGGGGAAACTAACTCTAAATACTTGTAATAAGCTTATCTATTCTTAACCGAAATGCGTACAACTGATGCAGCGCCGATTGTCCTTAACTCCATATTGGTGATTTTATGACCACTGAACTTGTCATGAATACTTACAGTGATAGGAGTTGAAGTCCGACCACCAAGTAGTCTCCAAAACTCCCCTGGCTCATCACCCTTAAAGAAAAAAAGCATGCTGTTTTTATACTACCATTTTAAGAGTAGGAGTCAAGAAGATGAGATGCTGATACTAACTACAATGAAATAATGGCTGGCTCTTATAAAAATATTATTATAAGTACTCACTGTTTGGCACATTATAATTTCCGCTTTGTTCTTTCTATCATTCTTGTTCAACTTCTCGGCAAACAATCTACAATGAAATAAATGACTGTATGTAAAAATCAAGAAATAAGAGAATCGTAATTACTATTATCCTCTATGCATTGTTACAAAAAATTCTGAAATTGATGTTTGAAGAATAACTAGTTACCTCTTCCCTCATGGGGCTTTTCAGGGGTAATGAAACATTTTCAGCATTTTTAAGAATCCCAAGATGTAGGAGGCGAACCAGTTGGCTATTTTACAAACGTGGCCGAGGGCTGGAATTCGGGACTACCCAGAACAAATCCAGGTAGCAGTTGTCTGGTGGGACTTGAACTTGGGACCTCTGGATTAAAAGTTAACCCTACCACGCTACCTCCATTACGTTAAAAATGAAAAAAATAACACGCAGAAGTTCATATTAAAAACCAAAAATAACAATGACAATGGGAAAACATAAATAAAGTTAAAACTCCCTTAAGGGAACATACATGAAAGGCAGAACAAGTCTCTACAATTTGGAGCTTGCTGCTTGTTGGTTAAAATTTAAGAGGAAAATAATCATACACTTTTAGATAGTTCAGTTGAATAGACGAAAGGTAAGCTTTCGGGGGTTTTCCAGTTATTCATGAAAAATAAAAATGATCATCTATTATGTAGAGCATGACAGTGTAATATTCATGAACTTTATTTCACTGAGTGAGATCATCGTTTCTCATTACATACCTTCCTTTTGTTTTTGTTGTCCCTTTTGCCTGAAATAAATCGTAAAAGTCAAAAGTCATTTTGGTTACATGAGATTAATATTATAAAAATTTACTGAGGCATCTATTGTTTGAGGGGACACTGAAATTTTCACACTTAATCTTTAAGAGATATAATAATAAATTATACCCCTCTTAGTCATCAGAAAGATTATGATACTGTTAAAGCAGGAAAAAAAAACAACAAAAATGAAGAGGACAAAAGTGCAATTCTTGGCTGAAAATAAATGGCAAGCCAAAGAACACGCACGTAGCGACCTAGTCGTTCTTACCCTCTCTCCAGACCAGATGTAGATTTTAAGCTCAGCATCCAAAACAAAGGAAAATGTTGGATCTAATGACGTAGTGCTAACATCCACCTAAAGAGCAAAAAACAAAATAATAATAACAAAACATGGTTTCAAACAAAGGAGAAAAATGTATGTACTCTTTACCCTTTGACGACGGCTTTGGTCGTTTTCGTTTCATATGGAAAGATGTATATTTTTCTTCCTGGACCCATTAAGCTTTCAGTTTAAGCTCATAAGTTGGTAAGTAACAACGTCAGCAAAGATAGATCTTTTCACAAATACGTCGTTTTGGATATTATGACCGATCCTAACGGAGTTACACTCACAAAAAAGGAACATTTTGGGAAAAATCCACTGCCAATATTGCTGTTATCTACTACTATTCAAAGATTAAATTTGTGCCTGTCTTAAAAAGTTAGCCAGCTACAATTCCATGCAAAAGGTTAACCCACAAGATGAATTTTTAAAAGTAAGTCAAAAAGGAGACTATGTACTTGCAGACATTGTTTTCTTTGATCCAGTTTAGGAAGGAAATTGTATGTCGTTATGGTGATTTTTTTTACAACTGATAAGAAACAACTTACAGGTTCCAGCTGAAGTTTAGATGTCTTGAGAATCCTAAATAATCTTGTTGGGTAAACCTGGTGAAAACAGGAGTTCATTAATTGAAATGACTTTATGTACCAGTAACTGATCTCTGAATTCAATTTGAACACAATGGCAGTACTTACAGGGTCTTCAACGGTGTAAAATCCACTTGCAGTGCCACCTTTAAAAAAAAGAAAGAAAAATAAGAACGAACGAAAAATAAGCACAAAAATTAACATAATATGTAGTAACATACCTTAATTCAATGTGTAAACTATTTTTAAAGTAATGATTAAGACCATCTCAGTGGCCCAGGTAAGTGAAAAATGAAGAACAGCTTGCCCAAAAGACATGCTGGAACTCAAATTTTTTGTCATAGGGAATTAAAGTCAGACCAGGGTTCAGACAACAGATTTTTGAAGGAAAAGATCTGATGCACTTTACCATGAGGGAAAGAGGAGAGTGTTCTTAAATTTGACCTGTGCACTTGATTACATTTATTTGACTCCTACCCTCAACATAGCTGATGCCATTTTCAAACAGTTCTATGAATTCTTCTGTTTCATCTTCTTGTTCTTCACGCTGGAAAATGAAACAAGAGGATCAAATCACAATTTAAAAGTGATACATCACATTATACACTGCCAAGTTAGCCTACTATCATTAAAATTAATAATTATTTAATATTGTTACAAAATTGTCACTTATCGGAAGTATCAATGGTAGCCTATGCAGCTGGTAATTATGAAGAGGATATACGCAAGAAGGAAAGTATCTCAAATTTGTCCTATTTTCTTGCAGTCAGTACTACTGCCATTATTGACTGTGCCTTCTATGCAGGATTTATATCAAAAGGGGAAAAATGCAATCCCTTTAACAGTAACTGATAACAACCTTTTCATAAACATTTGTTGGATTCTTCGAGTTAAAGTAATGTTTCAACCAAAAAAGAATGTTGCACTCACCAGAGTCCTTGACTCAGCACCAAGGAAATTTCTGAGGTTCACAGCATGAATGGCTGAACAAGCCTTCTTGTCAAGCTGAAAAACAAATAAAAAATTAATTAATACATGCTACAAGCTACAAAAACATGACAGAGTTTTGCAAGTAACAACCCTCCAAAAGGTAGCAATAAAAAACGTAATTCTCTCTGGAAACCCTGTAAGTCGCTATATAGTAATATCAGAAAATGACCCGATGATCACCCCAAACCAGTTCCCTTGATATCTCCTTCCTAAATACATGGGCGTGATCCATTCGACCAAAATTCAGACCGGTCCGACCGGGAAAAGAGGACCACCTCAAAAGGTGGACCAGTTTTTTCGAAACTTTTCCGGTTGGACCGAACCGATCCATTGAGTTTTGGACCGAAATTTCCGGAAATTTTGGTTGAATGGATCGCGCCCCATGTACTGTAAGAAATATGAAGGATACAAAAAGGAGAAATTCTATTTTTATCTTACCAGATGTATAAAAAAAATAATAAAAAGGAAGAGTAGGGTTCAAAGAACGCAGAACCAGGTAAACTGGGTGTCTACATAATTTGGTTATTCATAAGTCAAAGCATGAATTCTTTTAATAATACATGTGATTTTCCCATGCAAAAACGAAAGAAGACTTACAGAAGCATCCTTTCCAATCCAGTAGAATATCTGCCAATCAAGCTGGTCTGTATCATCAAAACTTGTCTGATGAAAAATACAATAAAACACAGACTCATGATACTAAGTCTTTTTCTGCCCACACCGAACAATAATACTGGTAAATGTACATCATTAGACAGTGATTAATCTTGAATCACTGTCAATGGTCAAGAAATAGCAGTACATACCTTGAGAACAATGTAACAATCTCCTTCGTAAAACTTTCCATAAAACACTAAACAAGAAAATAACGATAATTTTTTTAAAAAAAGACAAGGGTACTGTAACATCTATTACTGTTGACCCAGTAACTTTCATCATAGCCTTCCTACAGTCTATGTTAAGAACAGAAAACCAAGTGGAAGGAATCAAAGCAGTTGGCTTTTTTATATTAGTATTCCACATAATTTGTTCTGCATTCATTAACATGAAAGGGGAAAAAACATTCCTTTGCTGTTTTCCTGATGCAGATGAGAAAACTAGAACAAAGTCATTAAGGTGAAGAATGGAGTGAGCTGTAGAGAGAGAAGTGTTGACATATGACTGCTACCCAGTTAGCTTAATTTGTAGGACAACCACGGGTTTTCATATTGTGAGGCTTGAGTTCAATACCTGCTTCACCACTGAAAAAGTCAGTAGTAAGATTGTGCTGTTTGTGTCTAATTTTTTTTTCATTTCAATTAGATTCAGTTAATCCAGGCTTTTTCCCCCTGTCTCAAATACCAGTAATATTATTAATATCACCGCAACATTATTCCTTTATATACAAATTATCCAGACTGATCTCCAAATATTATTTCCTTTAAAGAATTGATGGTTGAGCGAATTAATTTTGTTTTTAGACCATAGCTTTTTCCATCAGGTGATCATGTAATTAATTCTCACAACATTTTCTCTTGATTATGTATTGATATTGCTAGTAGAAAATTGACTTTGGTCACCCTTAAGACTTACACATGTAGTTAAAGCAATTGGCCTTGTGTTCATCCTTTTTTGTTTATTGAAAGAGATGTGACACTAAAACCCACTTCACACATTTCACGGATCATGGGTTGGGTATAAATAAGTTATGACCTCCTCTTTTGATGTCAGTGATTATGACAAGGGGTCAAGCCCTGTAGTTCTCCTGTTGTTTGTGATTTCACATTTCTTTCATTTCAGATTTCATGCCAAAAAGTATCTGACCATGAGGGCCATACCATGGTATATAATTATAAGGGAAAGGTATGGAAGATCCTTGTAGTACAATGCTTCAACTTCAAGCAAATGGCAGGATCTAAACGATACTAAGAACAACAAAACTTATCCATACTCTTATTATTATTCATTTATTTTCTGTTTATTCCAAAACGATTTCTATTACTTGCCAGTACAATAACGATATGCAATATTGCCTTACTTTCATCAACAGAGACTGGTAGGAAGTTTTCAATCTGCCACACAGTCAAACCTGTAATGGAAAGAGGTGGTTATTATTTTACATACATTAATTATATTGAATAACCATCTGCACAACAGCTACAATAATTATTATTGGTTACCAATAATTGCATCAACCATTGAAAATAGTAACAATCTTTTACATGTATGACTCAGAATACATGTGGGTACAGGCTACAAAACAGCAGAAGTTTATTTGTTTAAATTTAACTTACCAGGTTCTTGTCCAGTAGTGTCATTAAAGAAATCATGATAATCTAAATTGGGTTTAACCAGTGACTCGTTCCATTTTCTTCCTCTATGATGACAAAGAATCAAGACTTGTTAAGTTACAGGACTGTGTTGTAGAATCTATAACAACTTATTAATGTTAGTGTACAAACTGCAGTTTATCATTGAATATGGCTGTTTCAAGTAGCAATGGCAGATTGGGTGGGGGCAGGAATCTTACTAGAAGGGCAACAGTTATTTTCTGAAACCCTTTGACTTTACAGATTTTTTTAACCAAGGGGCAAGAATTGTAATTATTTTTTATCAAAAAAGGTCAACTTACTTTAGAAGCTTCTCTGGTTCGTCTATACTTTGCTAAAGATGGAAAAATGCGGAAGAAAATAATAGACAAAGAATATTCTACGAATCTACACTGATTTAAAAATTCGGAAATGTTTCAACTTTACTGATGTATTGCATCATAACTAAGTACAGGTATATCGAGTCAATAAAGCTCCAATGAATTAGTAAAATCATTTCACCAGAGAAATTTAGTTACCGGTACATATATAAAGCTCAAGTCAAGTTAAGTCAACTTTTATTTAAACTCACACAGAATAATTATAATTAATACAAATTAGTGCTTTAAAATATAAAATCGAGAGATTGTGAAGGGAAAGAGAACTTATTGTAGGTTCATTGTGCAGAGTTTGGGACACCTAAACAGTTCGTGGAACTAACCGAGTAGGTGATCCAAACAAGAATATGAGTAAAAGGAATATAGATACAAAATAGCTGAGTCACAAAATAGCTAAGTCACTGTAAGCTGTCTCTTTTTTTGATTCAAAATTAGTGGGAAAGCACACACGACACGGAAGTGGCAAGATGCAAAGCAAGTACTCTACACATATCCTTTTCATTCCCTAAACATCCCTACTGGGTTATAGATGCATGCAGGAGGTTGCAAGGCATGACGGAAGCACAAGAGTCACACAGGGCAATTTGGCATGATTGCTCAACAAACTAGGTCCAGTGTTCCTCATTCCACAACTCACTAATACATCATTGCCAAACCATTTACGCTTCCAACAAATCAAATTATCCATACAAACATTGCCCATACATGTTTTCTATTATGGAAACTAAAATGCTGAACCATGGCTTGAATAATAGGAGGTTGTTAGTAAAAATTACATTAAGCTGGTGACTTACTCTTTTGCCGAGTTTTTTGTTTCGTCCAGACACTTTCTTCTCCTCGGCATCTTCTACCATACCCTGAAAAGATCATAATTAAATTATTAATATACAGTATTGTGTATCTCTTACATTTAAGCACTCTAATCTAGTTTGAGAGGCCATTAAATGCTGTCAAAAGTTACAATTGTGTGTGCTACAATTATAGCACATGTCAGTTGTAAGGCCATTTCCAATTCAAGCACATGTTATTTCTGAACCACAAAATTCTAACAAATTACATACATCAGATGACAATCTACATGTAACTTGCATGAGGAGTCTAATACAATGACACAGAGTGTACATACTATCTCGAGGCTTTGTTAATTAAAGTAAAAATAAATTCAAAGCAGATTTTAACATAGGTAACAAAACTCACAAGTTTACTGTACCTTTAAATCTTCTGATTGACCATGATATCGACGACCTCTCATTCGCAACTGTCATAAACAATTATAAGATATTTTTAATTTTTGATGATGGCTAAACAAAACCTGGATGGCTTAAAGTGAAATTACAAAAAAGGCATAAAGAAGTTAATCAAACTCACTTTTCTAGCATAAGAATCCTTGTGAGCTGCAGGAAAAAATAGATAAAGGTCATGACTCGTTCTTTACTCATAACTACTAGAAATGGAAAGTGCTCAATAAACTATGAACCCCAGGGCAAGATTTGTTAAAAAATGAAGTAAGGTGTAGTGCCATTTCCAAAGGTTATAAAAATTCTCTCTCTGATCTCTTAATAAGCACTAAAATGTATGAGCTCAAGAATAATAATTATTAACTTAGAAGTATTGTCACTCCTCTAAATGAACATGTATATTGCTGCTACTGTAACCTAATATGAGAATAACATAATGTGGGGCAAAAGTTTTAGTCTAAGAAAACAGTAACCAATGAAAAAAATGCCAGACCTTATGCTACTACAGTGAAACACCACCTTATTATGGCCACTTTTTTTGGCAGCCTAGCAAAAACCACCATACATTTTCTTGTAAAAAAAAAACCCTCGTTAATATGGCCAATTTTTCTTGGCCATTGGTGACCGTATTACCGGGGTTCCATTGTACATTGCTGTATTACTGTAACTCTATTATGTTCTATAGAAAGGTGAATCCTAGCCTGTACCACAGATGAAACTAAACTCTGGTTAATTCCATCTGCAAAACAGTGCTGGAATCATTGTTCTGGGTCCCCAGCTGTGTACCAGAATTTGAGTATGTGCCATGATTGGTGTGCTAAAAATGCCATAGATGGTCCATAATTGCCAGTCAGGTTGAAGGCAAATACGAAACACATTTCTGGTAATTCATTGAGTCTATTATGAGCCCAGAACAAGGATATCGGCACTACTTCACAGATGTTACTAACCAAGTTAAAATCAATCATTTGTCTGTGATGCAAGTTAGTATATCCTTTTTATAAATGATTTTTAAAATAAAAACAATCAAACAAACAAAATGTCCAATGTCATTGACTTACAGACTGGTGGTGGAGGAGCACCTGTGGCCATCCTCAGCTGGGTCTGCAGTGTGAAGTCCACATTGTAGAATTCTGGGCCACTCCCCAACTCATCAGGGACAGGTTTAGGTGGCATTTCCAGCTCAGGATTATTACGAACATCAAGTTCCTATATATGAAAGGATGAGTGGAGATAAAAATAAGAACGCGGTTCACTATGCTTCTACAGGGAAGCAGAAATGGCGAGGTCATTGGTATGGGTTCAATTCAAAGCCCTCAAGTTCTCATGTGTGATGATCTTGTTGTTGGTTCTGTTCTAAGTTATCCAGTTTTCATCCTCCAATATTTTTCATTTACTATGTTGTGATGACTTGTTTGTTTTAGGAGAGTTACAGGTGTTCACACCAAGCCAAAACTGACTTCAGATTAATGGCTAGTTAGGATACATGTAGGCTCAAGAATCCTTAACATACGACTCATTGGTTTTAGGATTGGGACTCAATGATTCACGACTGGGACTTATGATTTTTCACAAGATAAGTCCTAGGACTCTACAAGGCAATTTTATAATTTAATCACTGCTCTTACCTCTAAGTTTGTCAAAAAGTGAATTCCTTCTGGGAGAGTGAACAAACAGTTTGTGTGAAGAGTAAGTTTGCGCAGCTTCAGACACCTGTTGAGTGGGATGCAAGACAGGTTTAAATCTAATACTTTTTTTGCGATCAGCCCTCTCTCATTTGGACACCATTATAAGATGGCCACCTGAAGTTGAATTGATCCTGTAGTTGCTTTGAACACACACTAGAGTGAAAACACCATAATAAGAAAATGGAAGCAATAGAGTCAATTGTCAGAATCACAGATGAGTCCATTGTAAAGGAAGGGATTTTATGAAGTTCGGTATCTCTAAATCCAGAACCACCTTTACTGCTTGTCACAGAGAGGTGTCCATATTAAACAGTGGCCATAACGGGGAGAATCAACTGAAATTATGAACACCCAATTCCCATAATAAACTGTCAAAATTGACAGCAATGGTTTTCATTTGCAAGCATAACTTTCAGGATATTTTTCAGTCTAATGCCAAACTATATAAAGTTGTAAAGTTGTTTGGCTAAACCTTGAGTCAGATTAGTAGAACATGTAACCTGACTGTTCATAAAATCTTAAAACATTACTGGTAGTTTAAACTGTATCAGTTATCAAGCTTTCCTCTCCACTGTTTAACATACCTGCATAATCCTTCTGGGATGCATTCCAGTTTATTGCATGCTGCCATAAAAATTTCCTACAAGAAATTACACAATCACTTTCAGAAGAGTTATAGGTACATTAACAAACTGTCTGGACACAATTGATTTCTGGAACTTCATTATTATTTGACTCAGTATTTTTATTGTTTAAGCAGGGTCTAGGTAGAGTACAGTAGCTCCAGGAGAAAAAAAAATCAACAATTTGTGAATTTCACAGAACCCTTCACAACTGACAACTCACTAGATTGTATAATTTTCCAATTCCAGTTGGCAGTCCTTCGAAGTTGATATTGTTTCCTGAAACAAAATTATAAAAACCACTAGTAACAGGTGTGTTTCTGAGCAAAAATGGTAAAAAATGGGCCAAGCAAATACCTGTAATATCGAAACAATTCATTTTGAATGATAACAATCTTTAATGAGGAACCAACCTCACTACAGATACATGTGTAGTGACTTACAAAAGTGTCTTTTAAAATACAAAAATATATGAATTTTAAATACATTGTAACAACTTTTTAAGTAACAGTTAACTATACTTTTAAAGGGTAATAAACCTACCATTTATAAACAGTCTTTTAAGGGCCACCAGCTTACAAAGGGCTGCCTAAAACAAACAAAATGTTTGACATTCAAAATAGTAGTAGCACTAGTTAATATTATGAATGGTTGTACAGTATGAAACCACCAACCTCTTACTATTTAATAGCTAACCAAATCTCATGCCTCTCATTCTACCATTAAGGTATATAAATGTAAATTACATAGACTATAAAACTTTGTTCAAGTTGGCTATTATCAACAAAAGAAGGATAAAAATATTCACTCACTGGAAGTCCTGTAAGTTGATTTCTTGATAAGTTTAATGTCTCCAATTGGGTCCAGGTGTCTGAAAAAAATGTTTGCAACTTAATCATTTTTCCATAGGTTTCCTGTGCCTGTTTTTTTTTTCACATATTCATACAACTCTGATAATGCCCTCTATGAAATTTTGCTTGTAAGGAACGATTACTCTTTTAGTTTCCACACCCAGCAACAATGCTTCAATCCACTGACTCTCAGATCATTTTTAAACTAAATTTTCCAGTCACTAAAATAGTATTATTCAGGGCTTAAAAAACAACTTGAACTCTAGCTTGTCCTTAATTTTGACAAGCAGTATCTTGCTTGCCCTGGGACCCTTGCCAATTCAGCAAGAAAGTTTTAGAAAGTTACTTGGCCAAGAAAATTTACTTTTCCCATGCTACCAGACGGGAGTATTTTCAAGACTTGATTATTAGATCTTTACTAAATGACAATTCATTGAGTATTATTTTTTTCTTGTTACACAGTTTAACTGTTGCACTGACCTATAAGTGTAGACACTTCAGTTATTTGGTTGTGTGACAGGTTAACTCTCTTGAGACTGGCTATCATGTACACTGGTTCTGGAACTGAATCAGGGAAGGAAAGCAAACCACAAAGCCAAACTTGATTAGTTTCTTCAACATAGCAGAATACACTCCTAATATGCAGATTGAATTTGGATTGTATACATCAACAATCATTGTCTGATAAAACAGATTTTAGTCGATTTTGAGATACACATTTGCCATTCCCATGGACCTTGCTGGGGTGAATGACACCATAAGAAACGCGCAAAAGGAGAGAGCGCCTGAGGTCAAGATCATTTTTACCAACGATGACAGTGTCAATAGCCATTAGCCATATTTTTTACTGGCTCTAATGAATTTATGTATTAACATTTTACTATTCTTGCGCGATGAATTTCTTCAAAGGAATGCTGACAAAAAAATGAAATGAAAGTGGCTGTTTTCATTGAGGTCTTATAAAAGAAAAACTGGCCTGACAGCCTGCTTCTCATCCCAGCCACTTAGGATCCAAGTTTTGGCCTCAAAAAATCCATACTGTTGACAGGGCCACAATCTCCTTCATAGCCATCAAAGTACATGATTTCCAAGTTGGAGAAGTTCATGCACTGTGATACACAAGGCAGTTCAAACTTTTGAGTCTTTAAACAGAATGTTACAAGTTCTTACCTCTTGGAAGATCATTAAAAGACAAATCCAGGTCTGTTATTGAAAAACACAGAAAAAGTGAATGTTAAAAAATTGTACCAAATACCAGTAACACAAACAATGTGCTGATTCAGAAGAATTTTTAACAGTGTTTATTAGCATCATGTTTTGAGAGCAAACTACAGGTATTCCTGCCTCATGATAAAAGTGGCTTTGAGATCCTCATGCACAAACTGTTACTACCATTACTATATACTGCTATATACTACTAATACTAGGTAACAGTTATGCCATGTTTTGATCGCAGTTTTCCAGTTACCTGTAAGGTTGACAAGGCTTTCCAGTTTGCCTGGCATATTTGTAACTGTTCTCTGAAAAGGACAGAAAATAAATTCTTTGAATTACCAAACCCTGTATAGTTCAAGTTTACATTGTACAAAGACAGACAAGAAGATGTAATTTAATTAATATGTATCACAATGTTTTTACCTGTGTGTTTCTCAAGTGAAGGGTGTGGAGCTGGGTCAGAGACGGAAGCTGCCTGTGGTAAATAAAGAAAAGAACATTCTTAACATAAATAAATACAGTCATTTACTTTCACAAACAGCTACCTCTCCACGACAACAACCCCTCAACAACAGCCATTATTTTGGGTGGACAGTGCATACATTCATTCTGACTTGTTTCAACCTCTCTCCCCATTAAGATGGCCATTGTAGAGAGGTACAACTGTAAAGAAAACAGACTTATTTGCCAGTTTGTTCCAAGGAATCTCATCAACTATATACTGTTTTAGGCTGTCCTCAGGTTCATTGGATTGTATGGCGCAAAGTACAGTGGTTTGGAGTTTGATTGAAATTCAAGTAAAGTAAGCCAAACTGAAAGTTATTTGCCTTCATTACCTTATCAACCATAAAAAAGGGTCTTGATAAAATACAACAAAATAATATTATTTAAACTGACCTTAGCTGAGCATGAAGTAGTGGATTATTGTTAAGAATCTACAAAAAAATATATAAAAATTAAGATGTAAAAAAGACACTTGTATTATTCTTACGCCAACAACTGTCTTCTTTTGTGGCTTAATGATGATGAAAGAAAGCTAAAACAAATATGTCTGCTGTAAACTAGCCTTTTGCATTACATTTAAATTTGTCTGTGACTATGGCCTAGTTTGCATAGCCAGTAGCACATGTTGCATCTACATGTAACTTCATCACCTTAAAGTTTGAGACTGATTTACCCATCAAGCAAACTATAACTTGAAACCTTTTAAAAATTAACATCATAAGGGCTTTTCATAGCTGCTTGACAAAGAGCTTAGCACAACGTACCAAGGTCTGTAAGTTAACCAGTCTTCTTAGTTGTGGAGGAATGGATTCTGCAAGGAATCATAAAATGTTGTGTTTTGATTATTTCCTTAGAACAGGAAACAAAGGGCTGGAAATGAAGACAAATTTATCATTCATAACCATGCATTATTATGCCTAAATGCCCCCCCCTGCCCCCTCCTGAAAAATCTCTCGGAAACACCAGTACAACACTTGCAGAAAGGGAAAAAATGGCATGCTTATGATGCTCTCATTTTGTTTTCCAGCATTCTACAGTCTTGAATTATGTAGGTAAAAATTCTGTTTGTAGGGATTTTTGATCCTTACAACTACTGGTAGATGCAGACTATTCTCAGTTTTAAGAAGCTCAGCTTTGGACTAAAATAATATTAACTAAGGTGCCAGACCCCCAGTAGCCTGTTTTCTTCCTTTCTTTCTTCCTTTTTTGATGAATTTGGCGAGTGCATGCAAGCAAGCACGGAACATTAGAATGACCACAAAAAAGCAAGGAAAAAAAAAAGAAAGAAGCCGTAACGTTCTCCTTTTCCCACCCTCATCAACTTGTGCTAATGATCAATACACCCCCTGCAAGCCCAAGGCCCCTCTCTTACATTTACAATATTATTGTGGATACAAAAAATACAATATTCTACAAACAATCAGTGAAACCTTACTTTGAAAAGAGTAAAACAAAATTAATGGTAACTAAATGCCCACAACTAGAAGTATATGTTATAGTTAATTTTTTATCTCAGGTAGTTTTTTCTCTTTCTTTTATTTTTGGGTATGGTAATTAATGAAACTGAGAAAAAGAAAAATTACCTGAGATAAAAAATTAACTACAACGTATATATTACATTCTCCACTTTACACTAACCGATCAGATTGTTGCCAAGGTCCAGGTAGATTAGGTCTGTCAGGTTAATAAATAACTGATTTGAAATAACAGAAATTCTGAAAGAGAAAGAACCTTTTTTTTAACAAGGAATGCACTTTAACATGTATGATGGCAAAGGTGGGTGGGGCCAAGCACTAAAGCAAAAATTATTTGACTTACATTCTGTGTAAATATAACAAGGTTGTAAATCATATTGATAAGGATGGAAAACCATTTGGATTACATGTATGTATTTAGAGCATGGCACAGGATTTGAACTTAGCATTTGCAAAAACAACAACAACAACAATATTGGGAAAAACAACACACAAACAAAACTCTGATTGGGGTGAACTGGAATGCTCACCGACCAACTACCTCCTTAATCTTAGATACATGTACAAGTAGAATTAGAGCAACAAAACACTGCACCAAAGCCATATTTTATGAAGATATTTAGTTTGTCATTACTCACTTGTTATGACTAAGTGACAAAACAATGAGTGCTTTGGCATTCTCAAGCTCTGGAGGTACCTAAAAAGGGAAAAGACATGAAACATAGAAATTACATGATGGTACAACATAATGAACAGAGTATAACTGAAAGGCATCTGAAAGACATGATTTCCTTGAATGGAAAGTAAATAAAAGAAAAACAACAGTGTCATCTGCAGCTGGAGATGTACAAAACAGGGAATAAAAGGAGGGCCTAAAGAAATTGGAATAAATAGAAAAAGTAAAAAATACATCCTGTTTTGGTAAAAGATGAGTAAAGACAGAGGATCCTTCTTCATAATAGTTACTGGTATTTTAGTCCTAAAGAATCATTACATTCTAAGTTTGTGGGTAAGAGTAACTATTGTTTCCCAGCCATAAAAGTAACCTTTACCACTGGGAAGAACTCTTACCTCTTTGAGCTGATTATGACTGAAATCCTGAAAAAATGGGGAAAAATAATCATGATAAAAATTTTCTCAACACTGATAACATGCACTGCAGAACTAGTTAAAGGACCAGAAGGCTAGTTAGAGGGAATGGGAAAAAAGATCCCTGTGCCATGTTTGGATGTAATAATGATCGCCTTTTCCCAATAAGTATACAGTAAAAGACCATACTAGAAAAAGGCAATCATTATTACATCCAAACATGGCACAAGGATCTTCCCATTACAATCTTATTCTAAGAAAACTTTAAGAAAAAATGTCCCGAAAAGTGCCCGAAAATACAAACGAAATGTGCTTATGCCCCTGGGCATCCCATAATACTGCTTAAATTGAATTAAATCAATATGGCCACTGTATCGGTAAAAAGGTCTATTGAACCAGTGTGATATTATTAATTAAGCACATGCACAGTGCTCTAGTAATGATTAACAATGGCAACTTACTATTGTCAAGAGATCTTCTAAACCAAAAATATCCCCTGGAATTCCAGAATTCTTGAGCTGGTTTTGACGAGCATTTATCACCTTACAAACAAACAAGGAAGTCCACACTTATGTCAGCATAATTAAATTCTGGTGTCAAAAACAAAATTCTATATGTATTTTAATCTACACCTTTTACTAAATATCAGTGACGTGGTAAATCAACGATTTAACCACAAGGTAAACAAATTAAGAGGTATTAATTTATACAAAGAAATCTATCAACACAAGCAGCAAAACAACAAAATGACTTAAAGTGCCCATAACCTAAAATTTTATATTTTCTTTTCTGAAACTACATATTATTAAAATAACTTCTGCTAGAAAATTTTGCGATTTGAACCAAAGATGATTTTTTTAGATTTTTTTCAAAACATTCAAATTTTCCGCCATTTTGGCACACCATTCGTCTTAGTCTTCTCTCGGAGAATGACGTTATATGACGTACTTTAAGGAACACGTGACTTTATCGACAGGAAAACATTAAGAGTTCAGAAAAACTTTCCTCTTGCGAAGACATTGTGATTCAATCCTTACTTGTAATTGATCTTTTTTGTGTACAGCTGGTGAAGGAAAGGTAATGTGAGTTCCTTAATTTACGTCACATGACGTCATATGTGAGCCTGCTAGTTTGCGTTACCAGCGTCGCGGGTGTACCGCAAAAATGTAAACTTCAAAAATTGGTAAAAAAATCGCATTTTGTTCAAACCGCAAAATTTTTTCGCAGAAGTTATTTTAATATGGTATAGTTTCAGATGAAAAAATAAAAAAATTTAGGTGATAGGCACTTTAAAAGAAGTCAAACTTGTTGTATTGATAAAATAATAATTATTTGATCAGCCCAGTCGAAAAGCAAACAAAGATAACAGACAAGAGAAACATTGCTGTGTTTCCATCAGTATTCCACAGATAAAGGTCTTAGCTTGGATGTGGCTAAATATCACTTAGACAAAGTTAAATTTGAGCATGCAGTCCAGCAGTCTTCCTCATCTGCAGCACGTGACCTTTGGGGTGGCCTTCAGGGGTTTTGCAGGGTTTCAAGTTTCATTGCTTTAAACGTGTAGTGTTATATCAGACCTTTGCGGATCACAAGCTTAGTCATTGTGAATCTCCTTTCTCCCTCTTTTGCATTTGGTGGCCAGGGTAAGTATCTTTTCAGCTAAGTTATTTCCACTGATTTTCAGTGCATTCCAGGGTTGCCATGGATATCTCCCTGCGACTATGGCATCTGGCACCCTGCTAATGTTTAAGGCACCAGTTCCCAAGCTCATCTATTTGTGATGAGTTTAAAATGTATTGAAATTTTTCATGAACATTGAGCACTTTCATAAACACTCAAATTATTCCCTGTTTTACCATTAGTGCTACACCAATCTAGAACTTAACAGTTCAAAATTAATTATGAGTAATAAAAAAATTAAGGCCCCGTCTCACAATCCTTGCCTATATTAATACTGTGGGACGTTAAAGAACCCACACACTGTTCGTAAAGAGTAGGGGTCGTAGACCCCGGTGTTGTGGTCAACCTTGATATACGGATCCTTCGCGTGATGCTGTACAGGCTTTGCGAAGTAATATAGTAGAAGTAGAAGTAGAAATATTATTTGTCTTTGTCTTTCCTGTTTAGTCTATGGATCGATCAGGGTAAAAAGTAAAAACATCATTGTTTACCCTTAAATGAGAGAGAGTGGACAGATCACCATGGATACTCGCTAAACTGTTTTCCTTCAAAGACAAATGCTCCTGTCAAAAGAAATTACAAAGATAGTGAGGCTATTTATTATATCCATTGAAAGTATTTCTCTGTTTATGATTGGCTCATAATCTTCCTTATTTTTTCCATTACTTATAACCACCTATAGCACTAAACAAAAAATAACAACCAGGGCTGGCACTCACGCCCATTTCAAATGTTGAACTTTAATTTCAGCACATGTACATGTAAAGTTCCACATATGAATCAATAGCACTTTGCACTAATGATGCCACAAATTTCTGGTCCCTGTTAAGACTCAGTCATTGAACTGGACCCATCAAAGAATTTTGTGCGGGAAAGTCATGTTCGCCAGCAAATTTACATTGTCTTTGAAGATTTTTAATGTCAAAAGAAACAAAGTCCAGCCTAGAATTAATAATATATAACCTGAGAATAATTAATGTGAGCCAAGACAATATTAAACGTGGAAAATATTGTACAGATGAGTGATTATATTCCTAATGTGGGTGTCATTAGTACTGTGGGTAAAATATGTTATACCGCTTTTTACTGAGAAATCAGGTATGCAGAGCAGGGCAGCAAAGCTGTCCATAAAAAGGTGCATTTGGTTAAAATTAGAGGCAAAGGATGCTCGATTCTTCTTCAAGAGCAAAGTCAGCTCTTATTATGCTATTAAAGGATATGATAATACTGTACTGTAAGTAAACAAGCATAACATAATTTTTAACCAGTTAATTAAGATTTTATGACCCCTTTTTATTTATGCCCAAGAAAATGTGATTTTGAACTACCCCGCTTTGATACAGTGGCCTATGGGAGGCATTCGCTGCACTATCAAGGACCTTTCATTTGGTCAAAGGTCAGTAGTGAGCTCAGAAACTTGACAAACCTCAAAGCATTCAAGAAACATATACGCGGTGTGGACCTTTTGAGCCATGTAGATAATTATAGTAACTGCTGTGACCTGTGCAAATATTGAGTGGTGTACATTTGTATATAGTTTTAGGTTTTAGGTAAGATCATTTATTTAAAAGTAATGTAATAGATTAGTGTGCCAGCATAGGAAAGTGTCCCCAGTTAGCTAACTGTTAAGCTAAATACATTGACGCTAAAATAAAGTCATTATTATTATTATTATTATTACTATTATTATTATTATTCAAACTAGTTGCTTCTCAGGTCTTCCTAGAAAAAAAGTAGCCAACTTTTCTGAGCAATACCCAATCAAACATGGGTGGCATCTAGGTCAAGACAAAGACAAATGGTGGACAGAACTCCCAGAAGGCTTTGTCTCCCACTCCCCCATCATTGGGGATAATTTTTGTGGGGAGGGGATGAGTCATTTTTTGATCAGGTAATAGGGCGAACAGATTTAGAAGTCATTTTGGAACAAACACAAAATAATTGTGTTGAGTTATTATTGGCCTTATATCTACACCAAATTATTATCTAGTTAAATTTAAAGTAGTCAATGATGTTGCTACCAATGTTAGCCTGTGTTGGAGCTGAAAAATGCCCTCATACGGTCCCCTTGGAAAAGCTTAAACTTGATGCAATTCTCTCCCTGCGTGTGAAAAGTCTTTCCTGACATGAAAGGAGTATGCTATTTGTAGATTGCCCGTTGAATAGAAAAATATTGACTTGAATTGTTAGAAGGGCTTTTAGTGAAATTCTGACAGACATAAAACTGAAACTTAATTTTCATACCACAGGTTAGGGGTAGCTTTCCATTCAAGTTGGAAGAGAGTGGTCCTTCCCACAATCAACAGCCTAATGAACCTCCACCATGCGAGTCTTGTTTTAGTAACAGTGCAAAGCGCTATTAGGATCAATTTTTAAAGTCCACTTGCTATTCTGTTTGACTGAGCTTGTATTATAGAATGGCAAAACATCAACTCTGATTCATATGTAGAACTTTGCAAGTAACAAACAGTCTGATGCATTATAAAGCAACATAATTATTTTTTTCAGTTAATATAACTCCACTTCCTATTGGCTATAAACTATAGTTGCAGCTATTTGTTTTCATGCATAGGAAAAAAATAGGTAAAAGTGAAGAAGAGCTCCCCTAAAAGTCTGTTGGCCAACTGTCAGCCAACTGTCGGCCAACAGTATACCAACAATTGACAGACAGTTAACCAACACTGAAAAACGAAGATATACGCTGTAAATGATGTTTAGCCCCTGTCTGAGAGAAATTTTTGAGTCTTCGAAGAAAGATTCTTTTCTCATAGACCGAGGTTTTCTATGGGCTTCTTAAAGCGCATTCCCAGTTAAGACCGTCCATGACATTCCTATCTCGCAAAACCATCTCAGTACCGCACTGGCATTGTTACTTAAATGCGAGCAAACCATGTTCAAAGAGTAACATGAAAATAACATGGTCAACAGTGGGCGGACTGTTGGCCAACAGTTGGCTGATAGTTTTTTGGGGGATTGCTGTTCTTCACTTTTTCCAAAAAATCACAGAAGCATGATGATGACGATGATGTTGACAGTGTTCCCATAGTAGATTTTTAGACTGGTCTAGACTAAAATTGAACAGCTTAAAACAGTCTTCTAAAAAGTTGTTTTTTGTTTTGATTACTTTATTGCTCCACTAGGCCTATTGTACAACTTTGGGAAGGTTGTTTAAAGCAAGTGTAAAACTATTTGACTCTTTCGTAGCAAACATTGCTAATTAATAAGCATGGAAACTATAGAGTACAGTGGATTAGTGGTTACAACTTCATATATGTAGGACCATTAATTTTGCACTGGACGTCAGTAGTTCAAGCCCTGGCCCCACTGAAGGTGACGAGTAAACAGAATAAACTTAAAAAAATTATTTCTTTTTCACAGTAACTTTCTGCACAGCCCAATTTGCCAACTTGGTATATAATTATTGTCTAAAAGAGATAAGCTTATGCATTTAAGGCTTACCATATCTTCTCAAATAAGCCCTCGAGTACTTGTTTCTGTCAAAACTTTTATTCCCAGAAGGGTTAATTATAAGACAGCTGATTGATAGACGAGGAACTTTCATGCAGAGGTAGCGTGTGACTTATAGCCATAACAAGAGCTTCGGGGAAAATGCTTTCAAATGGCTAAAAAGATAATACAAAGAGAAGATATACTTAAGAAACTTCTGAATCCCTTTTCCTCACCAGTTTCATAAGATGAGAGAGTTCATCCGGCAGAGCGTCTAGTCCAGTCTTGTTCAACTTCAGCCATCGCAAATTTGGCATGTCTGCCACTCGTTTCGGAAAATCCAGCTTCTGCAAATAAAATAAGAACCCGGCTTAGAGATTAAAGTTCTCCATGGAGAAGTTAAAACAGAAGGAAAATGATACCTTGAAGTCATTTCTGGTTAAATCCAGACCACGAACGAAAGGCAACACACCTTCCGCCATTTTGCAGCTCGCCGTCCTACGTGTTGACAGCGAGAATTTGTCCGGAGGTAGGTTAAGGATGAATTTGTCGTAATTCAACCGGGTCGGGGGAGGGCCTAGATCTAGTAAAAGTTCTCATACTATGGACTTTTTTTCATCTTTTTGGAGCCTAAATTGAACTTAAATAACAAAATATGTCATAATATATTTTACTTTCACTCTTGATTTTTTTTCAAACTGAAAAATTACTCTTCAGGGTGGACTTCTCCAGTTTTGTCAGGAGCTGTCTGAAAAGGCGTTTGCATTATTACCCCACTCTACACAGTTCTAGTTGGCATTTCAACGCGGGCAAAGCAAAAATGAGTGGTACGGAGAGAAAGTCTTGGTCGGAAGTTCTCCCCCTTCTGTTCAACTTGCTTGTGGAAAATGCCGACAGAATCGTAGATGACACAAGCTTAGAAAGAATTCTTGAGTGGCTAAAGAATGTTTGCGAAACAGATCGAGAACTGCAAAAATTACTGCAATGTGGAACAGTCGAGTTCATATCAAGGGAGCAAGTTTTCTCCAATCCTGAATCCAGCGGATTCTTCCTGAGACTTTTTGGTTTTTTAGTCGCAAAGGCTGAGTTATTCAGATCTTTCGGTTGTGCCCAAGATGGAGACTTTTTATCCAGATTTCTAGACAAGCCTAAAAGTGAACCGGGTCTTTGGAATGAAGGGATAGTCAGGCACGGATATTTTCAAGCATTGATTTCTCTCACAGAGCACGAAGATGGCGTGGCATGGCTAAGAATCGGAGGTAGTCGTAGAGAATCGCTTTTACATCCAGCTTCAATGATTGGTCCGATTATAATCAGTCATGAAATTTTTAAATCAGCTAGAGCAAGCAGTGGGGCGGACTTTCTTTCGGGGGTACACCCTTATGTGCCACCTATTATGTACATGGTACACACTCGGGGGGGAACTTATTTGAGAGGGGGGCTTAATATAATAGAGGATTTCAGTAATGGCATTTGCTGCTAAGAAATGAGAAAAAAACTGTGCCAAGTTCACATTCGCAAAGACTCCCGGGACTGTAAAAATGGGACAGGAAAAAATTTGGCCAATAGTTGAATATCGCATCCCAAGTTACAATCCCAGGATTCTTTTTGAAAGTTAACTCTGTCCAGTTTTCTTCTAGAAGTGGTAAATAAATTGCCTTTTCCCTGAAAATGGCTGGACCTTTGTAAAGCCCTGAAAACCACATAAAAGGGTGGTCCTGTCTCCAGTGAGGGACATTAAAATATATTACTGTGCTTTTCACAAACATGCGAACTCTAAAGTTCAAAAGTCGCCTTCACATTTGAGTTTTTCGCTGCCGTCAATCATAATTACGATCAGCAGCAACGAACCTTGAAACACAGAAACATACAAAACAAAGTTAAATCCACCAATTACAAATCACAAACTTCCTAAAAGGTCCTTTAAGATGATTGACGGCAGCAAAAAACGCAATCATCAGTTGGATTTTGAACTTCAGAATTCACATGTTTGTGAAAAGCGCAGTAACGTTCAAATAAGCTGTTATTTGCCCAATTGATTTCAGTGTCCCTCTTCTTTTTATGCAGGTCACATTGATTGTGCCTTAGACTGTATCACTGACAGAAGCATGTTTGTGGCCAAATCAGCCCAGAGTTTGATTGCAAAGTATCTCATCAGAGAGAGTAACTGGATTCTTTCCAGCGACTCAGAAGAATTGATGTCAAACAATACTGTGGAAGCTAATGACCCTAGGCATGTCATTGAAAGGTTGAGGTCAATGCTGAATTCACAATGCACAGCATCTAGCTCTGCACCCGTAGCTGTTTTTGAAGTTATGAGAATGTTGCTGTTGGAGGATTCTTACCGTGGGCAGAAAGTTTTACAAGAAAGCAAACTGTTTCCTTGTTGCTTGGATTTGATTAAAGCTGGCAGTGCAACAGTCTGTGAAAAACTTGTTGACATGTTGTGTGAATTTGCAAAAAATACGAGGTAACAGCTGTTCTGTCAACAAATTTTAAATAGTGTTTGGTTGTGGTGATATAGGTGAAGCAATATAATTTTCTTTTTACTCAGATCATGGGAATTGAACTGGGATAGTTTATTCTCAACAGAAGAGTCAAGTGCCTCAAGTGTTCTTCTTGGGTCATGTGTTGATCTTTTTAAAAAGGACCTTATTGTTAGTGGACTTGAGCTGGTATCTGGGCTAGCCTTTTGTCACGGAAGTTCCAGGTATGAAACTTACAATCTATAGCAGTTTCTGTTCGTTAAGTTCATCTTTAGTCATGGTATCAACAAAAATCCATAAATCCTTCCTTATTCCAAGAATTACTTTTATGGTTTTAAGGAAGGGTCCACGCATGCATATTAACTATTACAGGGGATGAATGCTCTGGAGATTTTCACAAATGCTATGATCCACAAGTCAAGTAAATTCTCAGGATCTAGTTCCTAAAAGGCCAACAAGTGCTAATCAAGGATAAAACTTTAAGCCAAACAAATGAGTTAATTTTTGCAAGAAATGAGTTATGCAGACTGTTGTCTTTGATTAAGTAGTAATGTATAAATGTGCAACCTATAAGTGTTTCTATGGACACATTTGACGGAATAACAGCTTTGCATTTGTGCAATTTGGGGGTGCATAGTTTGACAATGCTATGCTCATGCCCTGTTTTATCTCCCCATTTTTTTCAAAGAAAAGTGTATTTTGCATGTTTTTGACTTTTAAGAATAACACGACCTGCTTAATACAGATACCCTGTTAATTCAGACCCTGCATATCCATGAAGCTTAATTAACTTGAACTTCTTTTGTGTTTCACTCAAAAATGCCCGTTAATACTATTATTGAGTATTTTATTATATTTCATTTTGAAAAATAAATTCAGAATTTTTGTCTTGTTCTCTTTATCCAGAAATTTTACTCACAACTGGTTGGAAGCTCTTTTTGATGTTGTTAAGTTGCCATTTGAGTTGTCATTAAGTCTGCTTTGTCAGGACAATGGAAAATTGCAAAATGGTGACCATAGTGTCAGTGAAGGTGCAGCTCTGACTACAGGATCAATAGTTATTGACGGCTTAATAGCAGATGATAAACAAAAAAAATTGATTGCCAAGGTATTTTTTGCATTCTATTAAAGCTTCATCACCGTGATAAACTCCTTTGTGTAAGTTAAGAGTGGTTAGAAATTTTTACCCACTCAAGTCACTAGCTAGACCATTCAAAGTGCTCGTCCCATTGTTTTCCAACTGTCGGAGTTGGTTCTTAGCTTTCAATGGAAAAGCATAAGTGTACAAAGTCCTGGAGAAGGTCACATTATTTCTTGTTGCTACTGTGTTCAGGGGGGAAAAGAAAGTTAGTTTTACAGCCTGCCATTTGGGCAAGCTGTAGCTCGCATGTACTAGCCCACAAGTCATTTCAACTAGCCCCCAAACCCTTTTTGATTAGCAGGATTGATTACAATCCTTCTTTGGTTTGAATTTCCCCGAAAAACAGCACTCTTGCCCATCGGGCAAGTTAAGAACAAAAACCACTAGCCAAATAGCAAAATCCACTAACCCCGGGCTAACAGACACGACTTTCTTTGCGTGCTGGTGTTAATATCCAGTGAATGAACCTTGTAGTTTGTTTATTTTTTATATATTTTATTTTTATTTACGTTATTTTTGTATGTTTTTTTTGTGAGCAGGAACAGCTTCAATGTATATTGTCCCCCAAAATTAAAGAATGTTGTTCCGTCACACAAGTTATTTGTCAAGCACTTGCTGCAGCACAAAGTCTCATTAGTCAGGTGATGATTCTACAAACTTTGTTATCTCCTTGCTTATATTATCTAAAAATGAACTTAGCATCTAAGAGTACGTATTTAGCAGTAACTCTCCACAAAAGCGTCCTTCAGGATGGAGGTGTTGTGCAGGGGCGGACCCAGTAATTTTTGATTGGGGGGGAGGGGGGTGGGGTCCAAACTTTGATTCAGAAAAAGACTGTTGAACTTTTTTGTGGCAAATTACTGTCCTTCTCCCCCACACCCCCTCCCACTAGTCACAGTTCCACGTATAATTCCTTGGCCCTCTTTCATGAAAAAAAATCAGCTGGTTAAAGAGTAATATATGATCCTGTTGATGTAAGAATTTCAGTCTCAAACAAGTGTCAGGTCTGATAGGGGGCTCTGGACCTCCCGGACCCTCTCCCTTTGGTCCGCCACTGTTGTGATAGTGAGATTGGTTTATACCCCCGGCAGTTCTCTTATTTTAAGGGGTGTGCAACATTTTTATTTTTATGAACTATCAAAAATGTGGCCATTGGGTATGCTTGCTGTTTTAAACAGGTGGTGACCATTAGTAGAGGTTTCACTGTATTATTGTTCAGATATTTCAAACCAAAATAACTCATCACCACTAGGTGTGCTTGAAAACTTGTGCCTTAAAGGTTGGACAGGAGCCTGAGCACCTCAGGCATATCAAGGAGGTGTCCATGGCAACTCTGCGAGTGAGAACCACCCATGCATGCATCCGCCAACTGGCACCGTCACACTGAAGAAATTTGGTGGAAAATACTCACCTGACCCCATACTTACCAAAAAAGGGGGGAGGGAAGGTCTGGGAGCCAGAATCTGCAAAGTTTCATGTTAACAACAGATCCACAAAGATCAGCTCAAAATGCCAGCATGAGGTGCAACATTAGTTACAAGATAATCAAAAGGCCCCTGCGGCCACCCCAGAGATCACATACGCTTGAGTTGGACATTACTGACCGCACTGGCTTGCAATTTAACTCGACCTAAATTACATTTAGCCACATATTAAAATTGCCTTATCTTCCTTTGAATATAACAACGTACTCTCGCTAAGAATAGGGAGGTGCTGAGAGCAAGAGGTCTAGGGGCGGTGCCTCGCATGGGACGTTAGTCCCGTTGCACCTACCCCTTTTGGGTTTTTGCTTGTTTTTTTTTGTGTGTGTGTGTGTTGTATTACAAATTTATATTGTATATCACTAGAGGAGCACCCAATAAAGCGGTAAAAAAAAAAAGTTTTTTATTTCCTGAATCATCTTCGTTTTTTGTTATTTTTCTCTGCCCAGGCTTCAACAGCACATTCTTGTTATGTGTTTCTCTGGCTGAAGCGTAGCCTAGGCCTCGTCCAATGGTGTACCAGTCCAAACAATCGGTCCACTTCTCAATTCCACAGCAATCAAAAAGTGGTCAAAGCTTGCCTGGGATTCATTTCCAGTCTCACTGAAATGCAGAATTCAAAAGGTGATCTTTGAGAACATCTATCTCTTGCTACAGCTATAAGTACAGCCCCACATTCACTACAGTTAAACAAGAGAAATTTGCGAAAGCTAAGCAAAAAACATTAAAGCTGAGGTTATGTTGTTACTTTTACTGTTCAAAGTTTAATACTTTACCACTTTGTTGTCAGTAGACTGTCAGGAGTCTATATTACATAATTTTTATACTTCTAAAGTCTTCTGAGATTTAGAGGCCCTAATGAATTTGGCTCTGTAAATTATCCTGGTGTTTACTCACAACATTTTTTTATTGCAGTTATTTTGGAACACACAGATTCTTGCACTGTAAATCAAATGTTTAATGATGTGGTCTTTACTCTAGTTCAACTTATTGAGAGTTCAGAGTCAAGTGCATCTGTGAGTATTTTCATTGTTATCCTTGAAGCTCCAGCTCACCAATGTCCATCAGAAACTTCATGCTCTTTTTGTCTTTTGGGAAAAGTAGCCTGCAATATTCAAAACTTTGCACAGGTTATTTATTACGGTAAAATAAGCCATTTAGAAAACTTAAATAGAGAGAGACTCATGCGGTCAACATGCTTAACATCGAGATGGCCAAACATTGAACAAAAAAATAACTGAGACCACTCGGTAATGTTTTCATTTAAATATCACATCTTGTCTTGTTTCTGCGTAAGAGGAGAAATGAGCGCTACATACCTCGTTCTTTTAGCCACTGAAGAGGGGAAATCAATTAGGGAACTGAACCAACAGGAAATCGAAATGTCTTGAGACTTTGGCGAAACGACCGTAAACCATTACCATGGGCTAGGGCTCATACTACCACCCTTAGGTGTGAATTCTGATGCTCGGATCTCTACACCTCCAAACTTCCCCATATTTTAAAACTCATTAAAATCCTACATTTTACCTCCTGTTTTTATCTGTTGTAAAGGTGATCTCCAGTTCTTTGAAGACATTAGGAAAACTACTCAAGGTCACCAGGGAAGAATTTATCACTGAACTGTTCAGCTACCAAACTTTAAGTGGAGAGATTCCCAAAAAGCAAGCTCGACTTGACAGTAGTGAGTCATGGAAAGATGGTCAACAGGAGATGACTGTTAAAAGAGTAGACAGTGAGAAGCTGGCTTTGGTGCTCTCTCAGAGATTACGTGACTCCAGATGGGAAGTTAAAGACTCATCTCTGGAGTTTGTTGCTTCTCTCTTACAAGTTAATCATGGTTAGTCTCTGAGAAATCATCTTGAATTTTCTCGTTGTTCAGAGACAAACAACATCTTCCTTCATCACTTAAGATTTGCTAGATTAACTCAGGTCATATCTGTGAGATGATCGTTAGTAAGAACTGTAAACCCCGTATTCAGCGGACACCGATGGGATCTTCTACTACCGTCCACTTACTTAAGGTTTCCGCTTAGGTTGTTTTACAGAAAATATGAGAAAAAATAGTAGAGACTAAGTTGGCAATTATTGTCATGTTTCGTGCCTAACACACGGTACCCAATTGATATAGGTTTTCACTGTAGATAAATGTAGTTTTTTTATTGCGTAATAAAATATTAGGAAAATACGAATTTATTTGCTATCATTATTTCATTTTAAGATTCAATTCACGAGTTTCTCTGTCGACACAACATACATGTGATGGTGTGGAATGCTACTGATGACGCGGACAGTTATGTCCGTGCTACTGCTGTTCATGTGATTGGTTCCCTCGTCTGTCGATCACAGCTTTGGATATCACTTCTTCAAATCAGTCATTTAACCGAGGTATTAAGTAAGAGAAATAGAGGAAACAAACAAGCACGAAGAAATCGCAATCCTGCCCTCCCCCCGCAAGGAAAAAAACTCCTGGGCTGAGTTGTTCAAAGCTGGGTTAAGATAACCCAGGGTTAGTGCGAGATTTTAATTCAGATTTGAAAGCTTAAAAAGCATTTCAGTTTTAATTCTTTTTGTCTACAAGATTATGATATAACAGAGAAAATTATCCTCGAAAATGCTTCAGAACACAAGAAAAAGAAGCCCAGGTTAAATTTAACCCCGGGTTAAGCGCTAACCGGCCTTCGAACAACTGGGCCCTGGGTTTTCAGGAAAACGCTGTGGGTTTAATACTTCGATGTTGTCCTTGTAATGTGTGGAAAACGTGATAGAGTTAAAACCGCAAAAACCTCTCATTGCATCGTGAATGCAAAGAATTGTTATATGAGGATGAAAAAGTTGCGGTTTTAACCATGTACAGTCCTGAAATGTCCCATAAAAATACAAGTTTAAAAGGGATCGCGTCCATCTTAATAAGAACACTGTAATCATTCAATCCAGAACCGCATTCCCTGGTAGCAGAGGCCTCTTCTCAGTGGTATTCGGGGAAAAGAGGCCTCTGCCAGCGGGAAAAGAACAGCAAACTATACGTACATCTCATCTCCCGCTTTTTCAATAAAGTGGAGCTGAGCTGTCCTGGACTGAATTTTGTCCAAAATTTAAAGGAAATACATTCTAAGGTCTTAACTTATGTTACTGCTGATGCTCCTTCTGTGCTTTTTATATCTCGACAGGAAAGCATTTTGCAGAAGTTCTTGTCTATTCTTGAGAACGATGACGAGGCGTTCCCACGAAGAAGAGCCATAGAATGCCTTAACTTATGGGTAAAAGCGAGTCATCCTATTGTGGAAAAACGTCTACAGCTTGGCAAGCCGCACCAATTAGATTCCGCAAATACCACCGGCAGGAATTTTATGAGTCCCCCTGGGATGAGAACAAACGTGGAGTTGTTATCAGCAGGAGAGCTTTCCGAGGGAATTCCGAAGTCTGACGATCCTGAGAAGTTGAGATTTGTGAGTCAGTCGGAAGGTACGAAGGCACCAACGAAATTCGAAATAGCCCAAAGTGTGTGTCATGCTTGTAAGGACCTTGACTGGGAAGTCAAACTTCGAGGACTTGAATTTTGGGAGGCAGTGATTGATTCCTTCATCTCTTTTCAAGGCAGCAGCAGGGAAAAGGCTAGCTTAAGGAGCAAAGCTAGCGTCGAGGAAGAAATAGATGTTGAAAATATGAAAGAACTCTTCCAGCTGCTTTTTGACATGGGCGCATTGAATATGCTGAACGAAGTTTTAAACGACTCTGACGTCATGGTCTGCGAGAAGGCCCTGGAGGTATTAGCTTCGTTACAAAACATTGCGAATCCCGAAGGAATGTACAACGAACAAAGTATTAAAACGTCTTGGGAATTCCAGGAGTCTCTTGGAAAGAGCTTTGACTTTGAAAAGTTTACGGACGTTTTGCGTTCTGCAGACTTTCCTTCTCTGACCCAGTCTAATGAAGCTGCAGATAGCTTGGTCAGATCTGACCCTGTGTCTTTTATCCAGGACATAATGTTAGCGGCCTCACATCAAGACGAAAATTTACTTGACTGTTATTGATTTGATCAAACAAATCGCTCGGTTTTTTCCTTTCGGCGCCAGTTGAGAAAGACCTTACCTGCATGTATTTATTGAAGTTCGTTTTCTCTACTTGCCTGACAGGCCATTTTGAGAGTCGAATTATCTTGGAGTGCGGTGCCATTTTTGGCCTACAAGGTAATAGTCTCTCTCTTTTTTTTTTTCAACTTTCTCGTTTTTTGTTATGTAATGCTAACCTTGCTTGTAAAATCAGTATAAAATTAAAGCAATACAGTATTAATTTTGGCTTTTTCTGGTCAGAACCTTGTTAACAGGAATGATCTTTTTTCATCTGAGCCCAGTTGTTCGTCTTCTTTTAATGATAACTGTATTCGCCGTTGGTTTCTGATTACCCAGTTTCTTGCGTTAACTTTCACCAATGTGTGAGCGTAGCATTTTAAGGTTAAATTGGACCAGCATTTTGTGCGGTGCGTTGTATGTCACAATTGACTTCAAACATGCAGATACAAAACTATAGATAACTCTGAGAATTATTTAACTTAAGTTAAAATATCTGTTAGGAAAATATCTGTGATTTTAACTATTTATCAAGCATTCCTCGAGCCCGAATGGGCTATTGACTCAGAGACCATGAGCAAAATCTAACTAGTTGGTCAAACATATCGAGACAAAACAACTTTAGCTAGCAAAACGCGATTCAGCCGCCATTGTTTTGGTTTTCAAAGCCGGCGCTTTTCGCTACCTGCAGTGGGCCATATAGCCTAGTAGTAGCTCAACCAATCAGAAAGCAGCATTGATAATAGAGCACTAGTAGGATTTTACTCAATGCCGATATCGCAAACGTAGTTATACCTACAAGAAAATTAATAACATTTTCTTAAAGTTCCCCCATTTTCATTTAGGATGCCAAAAATCGTAGAAATCGGTTAAATCTTTCCTGTTCAAAACACACATCCAACAGACTAATAAATACTCTTCAGGTAAAAAAAGTGCTCACATGAGAATTTATACTTCACACTTTATTTTATATATTCACTTGTCCTTTACAGAATCAGTGATAGTTTGATTAACTTAGATGGCTACTAGCAGTTTCATCAAACAGACAATTTCAATCGTAGCTGCCAAAACTGACTATCCTCATAACCGTATTTCACGATCACTGGAAATCACTACTTATATTATTTTTATTTTAGTATCTGTTCCTTTACTTGCTCAGCTTAAAGTCATTTTAAGGCCGCAAAACTATTCTTAAATTGATGGCGGTCGTTAAGAATGAGGAAATAGCACCAGTTCGAACCAGTGAAAACGAACTCTCCAAATTAGCTACTTTGATTCTTCTGGGAAAGTTCTTCTCTCGATGTGAACTGAACCAGTTGATTTTTTGTCACTTTAGTTGACCTAGCTGAATGTTTTCAAGAGAACTCACTGACAGATTTTAATTTTAAATGAAGCTTAACATAAATAAACTGTTAACTACTGACAAGTGATAAGGCCCACTTGTATCCAGATATCTTTGAATCCGCTCTCCAGAGTGGATATTTTGAATCCACCATGTATCCGCTAAATCCAGATATTTTTTTTTCATCCACTAATGTCGCAAGATCGAGCCTAGTTCTTTACCATGAATATTCATTCAAGACGGTCCGATAAAAGAAAAATTTGCGGATTCAAAAACATCCAGATACGGGTGGACGGGCAAATTCAATTTGAATGCGGATACACGTTTTTTAATCCGAAGTGGAAATTTTTCTGAATCCGGAAAGGCGTTCAAAAAGTTGTGCGACCCGAAAAAATAAAAGCCAGAGAGGTGAGAGAGGGAAGAGAGGGTTCCCGCACCTCCTAGCGCCCCCTTTCCGGTTTTGTCAAGTCTTTATAGTGAGCTTCGCCCCTCGTGGCTTCGGCCCACGGCCGAAGATTTGTCGGCCTTCGGCCAACATCGAAAATTCCCGCCGCACGCGAGAAAAACCTGTGGTACCCAGGGTAAAAAAAGTTGCGGATTCAAAAACATCTGGATACGTGTGGACGACGGGGCCTTAGCCTGACTTTACCCAAACGGCCACCACGACGACTTGCGTGGCAGTATTTCCATTTGAATGGTCGCCTGACCGGAGCTGGACATAGAGAACTTTGCACGGATCCCTTTTTCCCCACGGTCTGCTTCCAGGTTCTTTTCATACCACATGTTATTCCCTTTGAACTTGTTGGGATTATTGTGATACATCTTGTACCAAAGAACTTTGTTGGCGGTTATTGTCCCTTCGTAAAGCTGAACATCAACCCAATTGCTGTTGACAGCGTAGTTAAATGGAACGGAAAACATAACAGCAAGTGTTTTCTTGATGCCTGGGATGTAGTATGAGAATACTCCTTCTGCACCAAATGGGACGGGCCCCGCAGTTTTTCGTGCGCCGTAATTCAAAGATCCACCTAGAAACATGCAAGCAAAAAATTAGCAGTTAAACAAAAATTATAAACATGATCATTCGTCACATGGCAAACGAGAATCACAGAATAGGGACATGTACTCGAAACGAAAATTTTACGAAGAATGTGTGGGATCATAAACAGTTTTTGCCACCCAGAAATTTTGTGTTGCTGATTGCTACTCTTTTCCCGAATATAACACTCAACTGGGTGAGAACTCTGAACGTTTTTTACACACCACTTGGTTTAAGAAGCTCTTTCAATCCCTTAAGTCATTTTCCCTCTCCGCTGCAACCGGGGTCAATTTACTAAACCTGTTACAAGAGTAATTTACAAGTTTAGCTATTGTTTTAGAGTCTGAAAACAGTAGCTACACTTGTAATACACTTGTAAAAATTTTATTGAATTAATCCCTGATGTCTGAAAGTTGTTTCAACGATGGACAAATCCTCTTCTACAGTTTGTTTTCCTCCGGTAGTGTAAGCTCGGCGCTGAGTTTGCCTGTGGTTTCATCCAGTAATAGGTCATTCACATGTCGACCGGCTATATTTTACTACTATTTCTACTACTAGAATCTTTCAGGGTTTTTCTTCTTTGGACAAACTAGGAAATTGTTTCTCAAACCTCTTAGGGATTATAAAATTTAAATATGAAAGGAAAAAGAAATGATTCTAGTGGTACAAACATACTTATAAATGATGACACAATCGTGCTTATGGCCTCACAAGTTTTATAATAACACTCTTTTCTTTTTATGAAAATGTTGTTTTTCCGGCCCAGGCTGAATATTCTTATTCTTCTGTCCATTCAAGGCTGAAAATATTCTTGAGTTATTCCTATTCTTAAATTTTAGCTTATAATATTCTCGCTTTGAAATGTATTTGGATTTTCAATTACCATTGTTCGGAGACCATACCAATATTTTTCCATCGCTTGGAAAGTGATTTTATCGTTGTCCGATCCCTATAAAGCAGTTTTCATCTGTGATTGCCCATGAATTGACGTTTGTCAAAATGCAGTTTTAAGTGAAATCGATATCACTATGGCAATAATAAACAAGAGCCGTATTGCCACCCTTGCATTCAGTTTTGTTCTAATTCGCAGTCAAATCAGTGACGTTTGGCATTAGCACCTGTACATTAGAGATCCGGGATCGGTTTTATTTACGCCTTGAGTGGGCCTCTGCATTCAAGGGTTTTAACGTAACAAATATATTCTTATAGAAAAAAAAATTGTGCTAAAAGAAAGGCTTTCAAACTTTTCTGTTATTAACATTAATTTTACCTTTAGGAACTTCATAAGGTAGAGCAAGATCTGCCGTCCCATGTTTTATGTAGGCGTTGATTGCTTGCCATTTATATCCACTCTTATTCACAACACTGATGGTGACCTTACGCTCTTCTTTATTAAGCTGGCCTGAAACTTCCTTAAGAACGCCCAAGCCACCACTGAGCCAATCTAAAAACAAGACAAATTTTCAGAGTTTCATACTCAAAAATCTAGTGAACAGTTTGGTCCACAAAACAGCCTGTGCAGTTACTTCTTTTAACTTTCTTTAGTTTCCTGGTGGTTAGCCTCATTATTCCTCGCCGCCAATGCGTTGCGGATCACGTGGTTCGAGTCCGGCCGTTCGTCTCGGATACGTCACCGAAATGCACTGACCACGAGGGCCTGGGAAGACGGCGTACAGGGCCTTGGCCTTAAGTTTCTCTGAAAGGTCACTGAGATAAATGCTATCGTAGGGAACGTGCTTTTAAAATGAAGAAGATGAATGTTTTTTTCGGAACAATTGATGCATAATTCAGTCCATTATTGGGGTAAAAATCTTTCCCATATATATAGCTATATAGGTAGGTGCTTCCCATCGGGTAGGGGTTTTTACGCCGTTTTGGTCTGAAAACGGGTATACAATTTGCCCATACATTTTGGTCTGGAATCGGTTATGGCTTTTGACGGAACTACGGGAGTGTACAAACGTCCTTATCATTGCAATTCTAAATGAGTCGGAAAGAAAGAGATATATGCGAATTCGAAATGGATTTGAAGAATTTTTTTGTTTGTGCTCTAATCTAAGTAATGATTACATAATTTCTGCCTAAAGGCCAGGTCTGAAACTGACTGGTATGGATTTAGAGGTCTAGTTTTGGAACGGGTGTGGAAAATTACATTTTTTGGTCTGAAATAGGGTCAGGATTTGGAGAACCTGGTGGCATACCCCCACCAAGAAATTCCAGGAGTACCCCCCCGGAATTCAGTTACCTCGTTGCTTGTTTTTCTCCTCGCCATCTTTAACAGCAGAGATCGAGGACGAGCCCTGTAAAGAAAAGTATGTCCATTTTTTTGTCACTCCACTGAATACAAACTGGAATGAGTATTTTTTGTTACTATTTTTTACCTCTATGTGTTTCAATACATTTGGGACACAGAAATGAAATCGGAAGGGCTAAAATTATCGCTGCGATCCTTAGCGAAATCACCAAGAACTGATGGCAAACGTTATGGTGCAAGACTTCCTAGACTACTTAGTATCCACTCACAGCACTACACACTCACATATAATTTGTAAACAAACTCCCGACAAGGGGATGAACGAGGTGTTTTGGAGAAAAAAGAGGAGAGAGTTTCGAGATAAGATTTTGAACGGGAGGCTGGAGTTTGGGGATGTTATATTTTCAGATTCAGGATCATTTTGCTTCACTGAAACAACCGAGATTCGATTAGAACATTGAGTTGCATTATCGTAGATAACACCTCCAAAAGAAACTGTCATATAATATATATAAATTCATTTTTAAGTGCAAAAAGTCTTTAAACAGCAGAAATTCACACCTGCCTGTAACTGCATCCTCATGCATGCATTCTTATATCAAAAGAAAACAATATTTGCCAATGGGTAAATTACACCTTACCATATTAACAGATCACACCAATATATGTTCATATATCTGAGAGGTTCAAAATTTTTGCAAACAGCTGTATATATATATATATGTATATATTGGAAGTAGGAAAAAACTACACTTTCATCCCGACAAGCCTGTTTCGTGATCTCTCACTCTTCAGGGGATTTTAATGATAAGAATATTCATAACCATCGACTATATATATATATATATATCAAACATAAGACGCAGGTCAACAGATGAAACACTGACTGAGAGAGTTGAAAATACGACGCGACGCACAGCGGAGAATTTTTGACGAACTTCGCGATCGAGGTGTTTCATCTGGTGATGAAACACTCCCGGCGTAACCACTCGAACCAAATCAAACTCAGTCGATTGTTGGGTCTAATAAGGAGAACGTTTGGGTCCAAAGATCCTGTGGCAATAAAAACAGATTTTAACTGTGTTTTAGTTCGTCCTATTCTAGAATATGCCTTTGAATCCATCCAGCGTCGTGCTACTCGATTGATATGTGGATCTGATAACAGGGAAGGCGGAGCGTATTTACAACTGGGGGGGCTTGTAGGGGGGTCTGGGGGCATTCTACCTTAGAAAATTTTTAAATCTAGAGCTTCGGAAATTGCATTTTCAACACTCTCCATGAGATATTTCTTTAAAAAACAAAACCTCGATAAGGTGTAAAATGACAGGTACTTCTAGTGCTTACAGCAATATCATAGAGGTTTCGTAAACTTGATACATTACATATTTCTCGGCCTTCCATATATCCCGCCGTTAGAATACTGGCCTGCGTGAAAGCTTCCTCAGCTAGAAAAGTTTATTCTTACTCTGAAAGGCTCTCTGAACTAAACTGGTCATCATTGGAGCTCAGAAGGAAATACCTTGGTTTGTTTTAACTTTACAAGATAATTCATGGCTATTCTATTAAACGGTTTGACTTTACCACATCTGTGGATCTGACTGGCCCGCGACAAGAACTAGTAATAACCATGACTTTAAAATCAGGACGAGAGCACGAGGATGCCTATATACCAAGCTAGGACTCGAGCCAAAACTCGACGCAGGACTAGACAATTTTTCTCTTTCCCGCCAGTTTCACATCCTGCAAGTCCCAGTACATGAAGTAGTACTTTTTTTTGTACAGTGGTGAGTTTAAGTTTAAAAACTTGAACTTAATCAAATTATTGGGTTCGATTAAGTTCGCTAATCGAACAGTGAATAGTCTGATTCGTTAAAGACTGAGTTTTTAACTTCACAGCGTTCCTTTTAGTTTTTTTAGGTAACGTCACCGTCAATCGCACCAGCACGTTCCGAACTCTTCCACGTTTGTACAGTCAATCTATTGTTCGTTTCACCTGATTCTTTTTTTTTCTTTGCTGATTTCGCGGTGATTTCTTTACTGCTTTCCTGATTCTTTGTACGCTAAAAGGACTTTTCAAAATAAAGTCGTCTATTTTGAGTGTTGGTTTAGAACGTTCGATTATAAGTTCGACTGGTTCGATTGAGTTTGGAGAACGAACTTAATCGAACTCTCACGCAAATTTTTTGGTTGGATTGTGTTCGATTACCGAACTTAATCGAACCCAAACGTTCGATTAAGTTCGATTGGATTCGATAAAGTTCGATTACCGAATAGTTCGAGTGGTTACTCCGGGAACACTGTGTCGAATGCTTGATATTACTTCGCAAACAAAATGATTCTAGAAGGAGAAATTAAGGATGCAAAATGAGCAGAATTTCCAGTCTGATTTTCAAACACTCATTAAGTATTAATTTCCTTTGTATTTTCTTTATAAATTATTAATAAATTTGCGAAGTGCGATTTAAACAGAAGTCATCAAAATTGACTTTAGCGCTGACCGTATCTCATTTTAACCCATTCACTGCCGGAATGTTTGATGACGTCTGCGGACGAAATCCTATGATGTGACCTTTCGAATGAAAGTTCTCTGCCTGTAGTTACACATGGTGCTATTTGTTTTTTAAAATTTCAGAAAATGAAATTTGGACATTTGGTCGAAATTTTCTTTTAGCTAAATTTGGCAGTGAAAGAGTTAAAGACAAGTTGATCTGAATATATGTTTTACCTCAGTGTCATCGGTAGACAATCCAGGATTCCTTTCAACATGATCGTGCTTCAAGGGACACCCAAAGATTGACTGAGTTATCAGCAGAATGGAAAACAGACGGATAACCAGCGTAACCCTTCTCATTTTTTAATTCTGTAGTAGAATAAAAGTAAAGAGTTTGTTTTTTTGTCTGTATATTATGCTAGCCTGTTCCAGGCGTTCAGATCGCGGGGACAGCGCAAAGAGATGTAAGCAGAAAAAAACAACAACGAGGGGGTGGGTGTGTATGCATACGATGTTATCACCTAGGATTATACCTCGTGCCACAGATCAGTGCTCTCCCCACAAACAGCGTATGTGGGAAGGGAAGAAAGACGAGCTCCCCTAAAAACGCCTGCTTGGGAGGCTAGTAATGCAGATTTCATCGGCTTGCCCCAGCGTATAGACCCCCGGGCCAACTAGGGGAATATGTCGGGGAATACCCTGGGGAGGGGAAAATTCATCATTGGACGCTCTGTTTATTGGGGAGGAAAAATTCATCAGACTCCTTTGTTATTGTTTTAAGGACCTGAAGGGATCGAACAACGTTCAAAAAGAATTCCATTTTTGATTGTAAAATCGTTGGAATTTATTCCGTAACCTTTCACGGTACTTCCAACATAAACTATCACTGTTGTTTTTATCATTGATGTTTGCCGCTTTTCATCCAGTCTCCTCTAAAACTATGGGTTTTATAAAATCGAGGACGGTAACCACGCATTTTATCGCGTGTTTTATAAAGAAAGCTAACGTCTTTTAAGAACTTAGGAGAAAACTTTGAACAAAGCAAACGAGACCTTGAACGAGGCTACCCTATAACGCTCGTTCAAGAAATACTGACTGAAGTTAAGTTCACCGGCAGAAACGAGGCTCTTCGCAACAAAACAAAACAAACAAAAGAGATTTTACCGTTTGTTAATACCTACAATCCGGCAACACCGAATCGCAAAAAGATTCTCATGAAACACTGGGACATCATTCAACAGCAACCTATAAGCTTTAAACATATCTTTAACCAGCCAACGATTGTCTTCCACAGGAAAGAAAAAATCTCTCAAGGACATTCTAGTCAGCGCGAAAATTCCTTCAATCTCGCAACAATCACAAAATCGACGAAGCGGTTGAAAGCAAACTAGAACTTGGCAATTTGCACACGATCACCTTAACTGACTCCTAAAACGGCAATAACGAATCCACTTGTTTATTACAAAACAACCGGGTCAGTATGTTTTCAGATCTCTTGAACCTATCACTGATCATTCTTATTACGTAGAAGGTGGGGACTCGTAGACTTTATTAAAAAATTCATACGTAACTGAAATACAATGAGTAACTGTAATTTTTGAGCATCAAGAGGTAGATTATTTCAGGATATCTTAAGCAGTCTATGGAAAAACTATCAGTCTCTCCTAACCTCGGTGAATGTCTTCAGGTGTTCTTTTATTGTGGTGATTTTTGTTCATGATAAAGATAGTATATTGCTTCTCCAAGCCTCACACGAATGAGTAAAATTTTATCACAAAGTATCAATCCCAGTTTTATGAGGTGGATATCAAGGGGATTTTGCGTTGATAACCACTTGACCCAGGGGACATTGTCTTATTAAATTCCACCACCCTTGAGGGAAATCCTGAACTTTGCTCCACCCATTTTACAATTCCCCTGGTTGTCCCGGGGGTCTACCCCCGGGGCAAGCCGATGACACGCGCATAAGTTGTCAAAGTAGCTGCATTTTGAGACAAGAGAATGTCATACATTTGCTGCCGTCCACGGTATCAACTTTAACTTAAAAAACGGTTACGAATTAAAAACAGGCAATTGTTGCCATTTTTAATGAACCTCGCTAGTTTGTCTGATTATCTATATTTTGCTCTATAGAAAGAAATATAGGTGAGAGACCAAAAACTTATTGTTTTACTCTTCACTTGTGGTACTGTATTTATTGAGTTGTGAAGGGAATGTCTTCTACTCCGAGATGCTTGTGATAGGTTGCTCTTTCCAAAGGGTTGACATATCAGGGGCACCCAAACTGACTACTTTCTACAAATCGCTTTAGAAACCATTTTACGGCTAGCTAGAGCAGTAATTTTAAGAAAGGTCATATTTCAGCTTGTTTTCTATCTGTTTGGTCATGTTAGGACACCTTAGGCTTGCTCATCATTTTTCCGAAAATCTTATCTGCTATTAAAAGGTTTCCGAAAACTAGATTTTCTAATAGCTCTTTCCGCCAATATACCCAAAGGCGAAAATTTCAAGGCTATTTTTACGAATAATGCAGTAAATCTGGAGAGTGAAATATGAAAACCGCTATAATCCGAAAATGGTAGAAAAGTTAACGGAAAACGAAAGACAAATAGGACAATCATCTTTAGCCTTACTCAAGCTATTGTAATTTTTAGATAATATGTGCTTCTTCGAACATACATTTTACAGAAAACAGCGTTGAGTGTCCGGACAATACGAAACCGAATCTCAAGACTCCATTCCAATCCAGCAAGTTTTCTTTTTTTCTAAAATTCGAATTTCCAGTCAGGTGCACGTGATGACTTTCTAGACTGAATTAAACGTTGGTACATTTGTATATTCCACTCTCATAACAGCTTAATAAGATACCGTAAAATTCCGAAAATAGGCCCCGGGGCTTATATTTTTCAAAGGCCCTTTTTGAAGCTATTGTAATTTTTAGATAATATGTGCTTCTTCGAACATACATTTTACAGAAAACAGCGTTGAGTGTCCGGACAATACGAAACCGAATCTCAAGACTCCATTCCAATCCAGCAAGTTTTCTTTTTTTTTAAAATTCGAATTTCCAGTCAGGTGCACGGGATGACTTTCTATAGACTGAATTAAACGTTGGTACATTTGTATATTCCACTCTCATAACAGCTTAATAAGATACCATAAAATTCAGAGAATAAGCCCCGGGGCTTATATTTTTCAAAGGCCCTTTTTGAGGGGCTTATCTACGGAGGGAAATTTGCGTTTCAAAACCGATTGGGTTGGCCTCATAGTTGGAAGTAATTTACCGTTTTTGCTTTGTTTTACTTTGTATTTGAGGGCAATTTTCCAAGTTCAAGCCCCAGGGGGGCTTATATTTGGAGGGGGGATTTAACGGAGGGTTTTTTGCGTTACCGGTTTGGGGGGCTTATATATGGAGGGGCTTATTTTCGGAATTTTACGGTACTTCTAACCTTTTTGAAGTGTTTGAGTATCCCCTCTTTCTGGCTTCAGTAAAAAGTAAACAATAACCTCCAGGGGGTTGATGAAATCTTAAATGTGGACAGTGGTAAATATGACTTCTTAATCGGCTATATCGAGGTAATTATCTGATTATTAGATATAGTCATCACAAAACTATTTGTGGCCGGTACACGTAATATGAACTCCAATTTCCATTAAGAAGTATACATTATTTATTGAAGGACGTAACAACGCTTTTTGGTTAATGAATTGCCTCCTCTCCGAAAGCATATTAGTCTTGTTAAGCTTGTTACAGTTATGTGAATAAACGCCTCTCTCTTTGAAACGCCTCCTATCTCTTAAACGCCCCCGCTTGGAATAGACGCGCCGGGCGTTTATTAGGTCATTTTCCCCCTCTGGCTTGTGAACAACAAGGCTTTGTTAATTTGCACATTACTCAGTCCTAAACAAAACCAGTGGGATGTTCAGTGAATGCTTTAAATTGTTCATGTCCACAAGTAATTCTTGTGGATCTCTTTTAAGGTGCTGCTTGTTTTCTCCTATGATTAAACTCTCGAAAGTCACGCGAGCAACATGGCCCCTGTGATTTGCAATATATCCCCAACACTGTCGCGTATGGCAAACCAGGAGGTCCAGTAGGTAAACAAGGGAAGCAAAAGCAAGTATTTCAATAGCCTTTTTTTCAGGCGCACCCAACGTCAATTTTCGGAAAATATCTGTGCGGAAGACGTTTTGAGATCTAGAATTTTCGGAACATTTGTAATAAAATTTCTTGCTTGCCTACCTCTCCTAGGATTTTCGAACATCTAAAAAATGGTGTAATTGCCCACTTTTAACGGATTTCTACCCTAAAAAGGTCATCTAGAATTTTCGGGAGCCTTTTTTCTGGCTGAAATTTTCGGAAAGGTAAGTTTTGATCCTTATAATTTTCGGATCGCTAGACTTTCAGCTAGGAAATCCGAACAGATGAAAAAGTTTTAGTGGATAAAAATATGCCGATATCTACCGTTTGAATACTAAAATACGTTTAACAATGCTATTTTTAAGTGGTTTTGAACTATATTCTCGTTGGGTACCCTTGTTTTTTCCAACAACAGGCTATGTTAGTTCGTAGCAAAAGAAAGAGACGTTCTAATATCTACGGTGCTTACTGCTTAGCAAGATTTTAGCCTTAAAAGTCTATGCGTAGGCCAGGGGTGAGGAGCGTTTCAGTGATAACGATCAGTGATCATGAGAGATCCAATGCGAGCTGGTGAAATTATTCCAAGAGTCCTCTAAACTCTTGTTACTCGAGTGTTTCTCAAAAACGAAATACAAATAAGACAATCATATTTAGCCTTTCTCAAGCTATAGAAATTTCTAGACAATATGTGCTTCAGTCCTCAAACATATATTTTACAGAAAACAGTAGTTAAGTGTCCCTGACCGAATACGAATTTAAACCGAACTTCAAGGCCCCATTCCATTAACGACTGAATCCAGGAAGTTCTTTTTATTTAAAATTCGAATTTCCAGTGATGACTTTCTGGACTGAATTGAACCTTGGTACATTTGTATATAACAGCTCATAACAGCTTATATAATAAGATACTACTAACCGTTTAGGCGTGTTTGAATATCCTCTCTTTCTGGCTTCAATACAAAGTGAACAATAAGCTCTCGGGGTTTGATGAAATCTTAAAGCGAACAGTGGTAATATGACCTCTTAATCTGCTAATTGAGGCAATTATCTGATTATTAGATATTCGAAGATATAGTCATCACAAAACCATTTGTCGCTGGTAATACGTAATATGAACTCCAATTTCCATTAAAAAGTTTTGCATTATTTATCGAGGGATGTAAAAACACCTTTTAGTTAATGAATTGCATCCTCAGGGAATTCATGTGGATCAGAAAAC